TTGAGGAATTAATGAGCTACTTTTGCGAAGCAGCTCCAAGTCCATGTTTTGAGGGGGAGGTACACTCAGGCACACACACACACTCCATACACAGTGTTGCCATGATCCCTCTGTCCTTATCTGGGTCATCTCTCAGCTGCTGAGAACAGCTCTCATTAGTGTGTGTGTGTGTGTGTGTGTGTGTGTGTGTGTGTGTGTGTTGGTGTAGGTGAGAGAGATTAGAGAGAAGAGAGAGAGAGAGAGAGAGAGAGAGAGAGAGAGAGCACTCATCGTGTGCTAGTTACCTGCGAACACCAGAATGGAAGCACCAAAAATGAGGCTCCCCTGATGTGAAATTCATCTGGTTTTACTGACAAGCAGTAGGGATGGAAGCATCACAGATAATGAATAATAACACAAGGTATAATGCTGCAATATGATGAATTCTCCAGAAAAAAAAACATGCAGGCTTTTCTTGGATTGCTTACTGTAAGCACAGCCCAATGCATTTGTCCCATTACACACCATGTAGCTTTGTATCACATTCATAATGTTTTTCTTGGGTAGATAAAAGTAAAATCTAAAACTTAATAGAAATGCTCCATAAACTTCCCACATTTACCATTTACAGTGTTCCATTAAAACCAATAAACCACAGAAATGTGGAGCAAAACCTTAATGATGAAACTGCTGGATTTAATGATCAATAAACGTGCTGCGCCGAAAACTAATGTCTTTTTATCGTCCTCTCGACAGCATTAAAAAAGGGGTGTAAAATGTGGACTAGCATTGCAGTGACCTGCCGGTGACCTGCTGTAAACTTAGTCTAAATGTTGTTTTTCCAATAAACATGGGACTAAAATAATGACGTGCATTTTTTAAATGAAAGCTCATTTGAAAAACATGTTTTTTCTTTGTTTCGGTGGTTTTAACCTGGACACATTTATGGGATTAAAATGCATGTTTGACATGTAAATACACTGCTCAAGAAAATTTAAGGCTAGCTTAAAGAATAGCTTTTTAGCATCAAGTCAGTCAGAGATATTGATCTGGTCAGTATTTGAGTGACTGCAATGACATTTCAGTAAAATAGACCGGCTTGCCTCATCTTTTCTTTCACTTCAGTTTTTTGTCTTTGGATTTAGCCCTCTGTTGATTAATCCTTTAAATTTCTATCAAGCAAAGTGGCATCAGTTTGTTCCTCACACAATACCCAGTGCACATCAGTATATATGCTTTTTGAAAGCGTTTCCTTTAATTATTTTGAGCAGTGAATATCTCGTTGTAGCATTTTTTGAATGTTTAAGTAGACCTACAGTAGGTGATCTGATTTTTGCACCACCATCAGATGAAGGTTTTCCTGGGAGAAATCTCAAATATTTTAATAACTTGATCAACCGTTTCTCTCACATGTCACATGAAGCAGAGCCTCGGAGAAATATGTTGGATCCATGTGAACAGATTGCTAGGAATAATGTACACTCATAATTGTATGAGTTTATTGATCCCCTGCTTTTAGTCCTAGCAGCAGTAAGCTGTCCAAGAACTAGATGGATGAGATTTTTTTCCCAGCAGCCATTTAGACAAGAAATATCTGGTAAACCCAGGTGCTTCATAGCACATAAATTTAATGCTCTGTACCCACTGAACACCTGTGTTTACCTGCTATTTCATGGCAAAGTGGCTGCTGTGAAATAGGCCTGTCTGGAGATTAGTACTGACCTCCTCGGATGAACGCTGGACCTTTGTGCTATTTGAAGATCAATTCTTTGAAAATTATGTTTTAAATCTCCTTAACTGTAGAAAATGATAACAAGGTTACATGCAGAACCAAAAAGGGTTAACATTGCAATCTTATACATGAGCACATCGGCACTTAGGTCTCTTGAAAATGAGATCGCACTTAATGAATTTCTCAAGAGACCACCCTCAAAAAGGTACAATGGTGGATGTTTTTAACACAATCTATGCAGGTTAGGAGTATTTTTTCATTGGTAAGCATCTGCCTGAGGTTGAGGAAGGGCAGTAATTGTGAGGGTGGAAGATAGCGATATAAAATGATCTCAGGTTGTCAGACCGTGAGGGAAATGTATCACAAGGGGATGAGAGCATGCCCTCTAATGCCAAGTGCAGGCAGACTTTCACTGCAAGCCACAACGATACCAAATCCTTCCCCTCGTTTTTTTTTTTTTTATCAGTTTGGGAGGAAACTCTTAGCATTGCATTACATCCTTTAATTCCTTTGTTAGCTAAATCGCTTTTCCATCCTCTCTTCTTAAGAGGACACTCATCTTTCTTTCTGACTTATTCCTTAGGATGCAAACCATTACTCCTAATTCTGCCAGCTAAGAGATCACAGGTCACAAGAGAGGCAATGAAGAACACAGCAGGACTGAGATATGAACCTACAGGCCTACATCACCAGATATTGAGACTATATTAGAAAATTTTAGCTTATGTGTATCATGGCAAACCTTACAAGAGATCTTAATGGTGTCAAAAAATGTTCAAAGAGATTTTCAAAGAGCCAAAATCATTTCAAAAAGGCCAACACAGGCTGTCCTTGCTGCCATGTCCTTGCAGAAGCAGTCAAACCAACTGATTAATGATCCAGGAGTAAGAAACACACACAGAGGCAAGCAGGTACTTTGGGAATCAATTCATCACACTTTATTTTGTGTGACCCCCAGCTGATGTACTGGCTAGAGAGCAGCACAATACATTCTCAGCACAAACTCAGCAGTGTAATATAGAACACATAAACCTTCGCTCACGCACGGCAGTGTTATCGGATGATGAAACCCACTGATAAGATCTCAAAACAATCATTTCTACCTGGATTTTATTGGAGTGAGTACATCTTAATAGAGAATGGGGGAAAATAGAAAAGCTGTCTTTGTGTGTGTTGGTCTGTGTGTGTGTGTGTGGTGTCTGTGTTCTGTGAGTGTGTGTGTGTGTTGTGTGTGTGTGTGTGTGTGTGTGTGTGTGTGTGTGTGTGTGTTATCTAGAAGTTGAAGTCGGACATCTTTCTCCGTTGCTTACATTTCCCTATTTACACTCAATAAAGCATCAAACTGCAGCACAACACAGTGAAGGACAGGTTTGGGTTGCCCCGTGCTATGATTAGATTTACTGGGGATGCTAATTTGAGAGGGTGCCAGAGAGGTCACTAGGCCATTCCCCTAAAGACTTCCAGATGCTGGTTGAACTGGTCAGCACTTTCTTTGGCTGTAAGAAGTTGCTTTTCACACCAACCAACCAGAGCCTGCTGCAGCATTTTCACGCGCGCTCCCTGAAAACGTACAATCTGAAAGAATCACGTCACATCAATATTAATAGATGCAGAAAATGCATGGCAACAACATGAATTCAGCAAACCAATCCACTGTGGAAAGACACGTGAAAGTGTGGAATGCAGTTATTTTTTGTGGACTTTACCTCCTGCTTAGCCACTCCAGAAGTGTGCTCAAACTCAGTCTCTGCTGCTTTCTTCACTTCTTCCATCTGATGAATATGAAGCGCATGTTATTATCATTAAGTCTACATCAGAAAGCCCACAACAAATGCCGTTTCCTCTTACTAACAGACACGTTGCTGACACCTGCTGGTTACAAGAAAATGTGCAGATCTGACCATGCTTTTAAAGTATGGGTGCAGACACTCACAGCAGCCTTCTTTACAGGTTTCGCCTTCTCTACGTTCCTTTGGGCATTCTCTAACTCCACTAGTTTGCAGGTTCTCCTGAAGAGCATCTCCTTTATTGGACATAATAATTGTGTTACACGCTGAACAATTTAGTCACAATATTCACTCCAAACATGTTGCATCTAACCAGAAATCTAAGATTCAATATAGGAAGGAAGGCAGCATGTATACGATGAGCATGAAATGATTGCAGAACTAGAAAACACACCCTTTCCGCCTCCTGATAACGTGACTCGAGGTCCAGGCCCAGTCCAAGAGTGTTCACGTTGTTCTCAGCAACACTCGTCATATTTTTCTGCCCACACACAAACACACGATGCGGCAAAGCACAAGTGCACTGCTGTTTGTGATGCTATTAGAAAAAACAAACAGCTTACCTTTATAGATTCAAACACTTCTGATAATTTCACACAAACCCTGTAAGAAAAGACACATATATACATGTATGCAGCTTTATCACAACTTATATGAATCATTCAGATGCTTTTCCTTTGAATACACATGATAATGGTGTGAGTCCAGTACTAATGTTTTTGTTTCCAACCTAGAGAAAGCCTGTTTGTCAGGATCCTCGCCTGGTTCCACGCAGAGATGCAGAGCAGTTGAGAAGTGTCCACAGGCCACTGCTATTTCTGCAAGCAAACAGAGCACTCTAATACCACACATTGGATGAATTCAGCTGACACTGAGCCCCAAAAACATGTGTACATAACACCATAATTATCATCTGCCGAATCTGATCACACAAATCTTAAACAACATCGATGGATCAATTCTTTTTCTGTGCTTTCACACTTATATAATTTTCTTACTTTGCTCTGTTGCTACCACATCTAGGAATTTCTGCAAGAAGAAGGGAAATGTTTGGAAATCAAACTAAGAAAAGGAGACGACGACGACAAATAAACAGACCGAGAAGCAATAGGTGACCGTCTCACCTCAGCTGCAGTCTTGGTGCAGCCGGTTAGAACGAGGTTATGATCCCGTTCATTCTGAAAGAACTCATCCACATCCTGCAGACACGTTGATAACAGCATTAACCCCCCACTTTCTCTGGACAATTTCTGCCTATATATGAGTCCCAGATGCGTACCTTATGGCCTTCTTTTCTCATCTCCTCCACAGCTTGACTCAGTCTGTTGAAAATGTTCTTCTTTACTTTCTGTCTGCCTGGAGGCTGAATGTAAGGACATAATAAAAGCTTAAATCATTTATCATTACACAGAATATCATAACATATCACAGCAAATGACATTTTGTTATAAATGTCCATTGAAATATGCTGGTAAAATGTACAAGCTGAAAACTATTAAAGCTTAATAAAATAAACGTTTGGGCAGAATTCGACACACAGGAAGCAAACGTATCATCGAGATGTAACACACGCAACACTGACTTTATATATTTCAAGATACTACGTTCCTTCTACATGTGTATCTGACTCTGGATATATAGTACTGTGCAAAAGTCTTGTGCTGACCCTCATTTCCTGATATTTTGTGTCCAAGCAGCCAGACTTTCTTGTCATTTTTAAGGTTGTCCTAAGCAATAGTTCTCCAGGCTTTCTGAAAATCTTTGAAAGTTTTTCTTTGGGCACTGGTTGCTTTTTCACTCATTTTCAGTACAGTCCTTGTACCTGACCATTTTGAGAGAGATGTCTTTATTAAGCCACTTATGAGTGGCCTATGAATAATTCAAGCATAAAAAGAGCACCTAATTCGAGGGTTGAACCAGTGTTGGGGCTACTTGTGACAAAAACACGTCATTTGTTTCCACTTCTTCAGCTGAATTAATGAAAAATATCCAAAGATAACAGTCTGACAGGCCTCAGTGGCAACAGTTCTTATAAAGTGAATGTCTATAGCCAATGTAAAACATGTAAAACAAGGTGGAACAAAAGGAGGGCAACATCCAAAGAAGAGCTTTAAATGTCTTTAAAGAAATCTGGACAACTGAACACTACTTGAAGAAATGATAAGAAAGCTTATCTAAGAGAGTTCAGGCTGTGTTGAAGACTAAAGGTTCTCATATCAAATAGTGACTATCAATCTTTTTAGAATTGTACAAACTCTGCTTTGGCTTTATAGACTGTATTTCCATGTATGTTTGTGCATTTGTATGACAATTTTCTACCTTCTTTACACTACAAGCCACACTGACCACAGTTACAGTGCTTCTTATTGTATATGCAGTGCTATCAGCATCACACACATCTAACCACTGACCTGATTATTAGACACCCTGCTCTAACCCAAACAACCACCTTCTTGTAACAAGAACTGTATGCTGGCTATTTACAGGGTGATATCTGACTGATGTGAATTCATCAGTAGAGGTTACATACGCAAACTCTCACCCTTTTAAAAAACTTTTTTTTTGTGGATACAATCTCATTTGGAAGGCCATATATATTTATATATAAAGAGCCGAATGAATGAGTACTGTCACATGGATCTCTATCATGTTGGTGAAAGTTTAACCATTTATTGTCAGTCTCCCTCATCACAAGGTTTCACGTGACAACCTGTTGTAACATGAGATTCTAGCTCTAAAGTTGAAGCTTGGCAAAGCTGCCAAAAAGCTGTTTGTGTTCACTTACATCCGAGCTGGTCAGAAAGACCTCCACGGCTTTATTTTTGCTGAGTATGCTGTGTGCAGCAACCTGCTGCAGGAACGTTTCTAATGCTTTACAGTAGGGCTGACACTCTCCTAAAGCAAGGAAACCTGCAAGCAAACTATTGACATTTTAACCACACCACTTCACATCACATTTGACACTGTACATCAGAACTGGGAAATGTTTGTCTTTGTGCACAGGCAGTCTTCAGATGTACTCACCAAGCTGTTTTATAGATCTGGGAGATGCATTCACCTGGGGCTTTGCAGGAAGAGGAGGGAACTTGAAAAAGAAGACAATATTATTTTATACAAAATTTTTTATCCCATTATTTGTCTCTTAAAACATTTCTTAAATACGAGCTTGTGAAAGTTTCGTGCATTTTAAAGTTACTCTGTGCTTAGATCGGTTGTGATATGCAAACTCTATGCACTATATCAGATATTACACAATGTGCTTGTGTAATACATTACAAGGAACATCAACACACACTGTCATAGTAGGAAACAACATAAAAAAATACACCCTGATGGTGTACTGTTGACTTTCTTTGAAAAAAGTAGTCCCTACATTGTTTACTTAATTCCCTACAGTACTGGGGCAGCTGGCAAAAATAGCAACGATAAAATCAGTTGATTACAAAAGAGGAGGACACAGGAAGGAAAAGCAGGAAGGACTTTAAACCACAAAAGCAGTACAATCATAGCAAGAAGAAAGTACGCTCTTTTAATTCTTTACATACCAGGACACAATAAAAGTCATCTGGTCCTTGGCAGGTTTAAATAATTGAACTTTAAACTCATCATTATCATTATTTAAACACAACCTCAAATACACAACAATACATGACATATTACACTGTGTCTTTATTCATTTAACCCTTGTGTGGTGTTCATGTTTTGGCTACTCAGCCCATGTTTGTGGGTCTGGGTGAATCCAGCGCATTTTGGGGGTTTTGAATCTATGCAGCCATAGAACTTTGTGTAAAAAATACTTAACAGATGTTCACTTTATCCCAGTTCCAAGAAATTCATCAGAATTGCATCAGCAATAGTGGTTGCTCATCAGTCTGGGAAGGGTTATGAGGCTACTACCAGAGAATTTGAAGTTCATCTTTTTTTCTGTGAGAAAGCTTATTGACAAGTTCAAGACATCTGCCAATATTCCCAGGAGTGGACATCCCACCCAGCCCACCAGGGCTGACTGCAATCTATGGAAAAATCTCAAGAGCTAGCCTTTTAAATGTTAAAGGTCAGGAGTAAATTTAGAAAAAGACTCAACAAATATGGGTTGTTTGGAAAGTTTGCAAGGAGAAAGCCTCTTCTCGCACAGCTTAGCATTGTTGCATTAGTACAAATCACAAGACTTTGGGAACAATATCCTTCAGACAGACAAGGCCACAGCGGAGATGTTTGGCCATAATGTGCAGTGCCACATTTGGACAAATAAAATCAAACACAGCATATCAAGACAAACACCTCCTAACAACTGCTAAACATGGTGGTGGAGGAGAGATGCTTTTTGTACACCAAAGAATTCTAGAGTCAGATGTGAGGCCATCTGTCCAACAGCTAAAAATGGCCCAAACTGGGTCCTACAACAGGACAATGATCCTGAGCACAGAAGCAAATCTGTGACAGAAGGGCTAAAAAGGAAAAGAAAGAAAAGATGTTACAACGACCCAAAGTCCAGACATCAGCCTGACCTAAATGCTGTGGTGGGACCTTAAAAGAGCTGTGCATAAATGAATGCCTAAAAATCTTGATGAAGTTACATTATAAAGAAGAATGGGTCTACATTTCTCCACAATAATGTAAAAGACTGACAAAGTCTTACAGAAAAACATTATTCCAAATTATTCCTGCCAAAAGGTGGTTCTACAAGCTATATAATCAATGGTTGTACTTAGTTTTTCTCACACTGCTTCTGCTTGGCAGAGTTTTTGTTACATAAATGATGTCATTCTGTAATATGTCATGTGCTATTGTTCATGTGAGGTTGTACCTACCTGATTGAAGAACTTCTAAGGACTGGATAATTTATTATATCCTGACATTCAAATACAAGAACTGAAAGAGGGTTTACTTTTTTTTTTTTTAACCACGACTGTATCTTGGATAGAAACACCACACAAATTCAACATTTGTGGCACTAAAGCCACCAGTACTCCAGCCCTGACCCTGTTACTGTCAAATAAGCACATACAAGCTACATTAAAGAATAACAAGTACTGACTATGACTCCCTGTATTCCTGGCACATCCCCCTGAGAGAACAAGTGCTGCTGCAGCCATTCAAAATCCTCATAGGTCCGGTCCACATGGTATTCCCCTGTACCAGAGAGCTGGAACAGAAAGGAAAGACAACCAACTGCTTTTGGAAAATCATAATTCAAATAAATAAGCTGACAGATTCTATGGTTCTTGTGTTATTTGCCTGGATCTAACCAGATGACAGTCTAATGAATCTCACCTTTTGAGATACGATGATAAAGGTGAGAGTGTCCCCGTCTTTCAACACCTCTGTAACTTTGATGCTGTCGTCATGGACACTCAGAACAGATGCAGTTTCTTTCACTTCTTCCTGCAATTAAAAAAACAAAGCGGTCAAAAGCAGTCCAGCACAGCAGAAGCAGTCTAATGGTATCAGTACAGGCTGAGATTAAAGTCGCATTCATGCTCAAACTAAATTTAAAGGGAGAAAAAAAAATGTAATTCAGCACACACTGTACTCATGTCTGCGAGGAGTAAACGCCTGTCACATGACACTCAGAGGCTTACAAATCCTGCAAAATCTACAGGCGTACTCACCATCATTGTCAGCTTTGCAAACTAGCAGTCTGTCTTTTATCTGCCTTTGTGGTTTGTCCTTTTAGCGTGATAAAAGTACATAAAACTGGAAAGAGCTCTTGCCTGTTGCCTTTTAGTCTGCTCGAGCTCCAAGTGTTGAGAATGCACAGGATATCCTTTGGGTCAAAGTGCACAATGGTCCCATGAGAAATGGAGTAAAACTGTGCCAAATCTAAAGTGCTGGCGCAAGGAAAAAGATGAGTAAATGGCGTGTGAGTAACTCTGGACCTTCGACACACCCACACAGGAAAAGTGGCATAACGGCTCAGTCGGTTATCTAGCAGCCAGCCTTACAACCCCACAGCTGCTGAATTTATAAGTGAGACCATAAAAGGGGGAAGAATGCAAACAGGTTCAAAGGGTCTGTTTAGGTGATTTTTTTTTACATAATGAATACAAGAAACAGATACTGAGAGAGCATTTTAGACAGAATACTTTATTATTGATAAAAGAAAACATGCTAAAAGGTAACAGTCATTCCAAGCACAGGGAGAAAAAAACTTTTAGAAGTAGTACTCTTCTTCATATTCATCTGGATCTCCAAAATAAAAGCTAAATCTTTCCCCCTCAAAACTGTAGTGATCATAACGACCATCCTCCTCATCCTCTTCCTGGTGAAAGCGCCACTGTCCACCAAAGAGACTGTCATCAAAGTCGTGGAAGAAGTCTGGGAAGCTGAAGTGGAAGCTTGTCTGATACTCATCCTCAGGCTTGAGTAGGTCCTCATTTTTCAGGAAAGCTCCGTGGCCCACATGGTCATACGCCCTCCTTTGCTCCTTGTTTGAGAGGACTCTGTAGGCTAAGGAAACACAGTTAGAGGGGAAAAGGTCAACTTTGGTGATGGAGGGGTGTGGTTGCAAACAAGCAACCACAACGCCTCGGCACCTTGCAGTCACTGACTCAATTATGAACTAGTCTGTGTACCAAAGTCCTCTAGAGTCAAATATTAAAGCTAAAGCTGCCCAGACACCAACCTGTGTGAAATGTTAGAGAGTAGTGAGCTACATTTAACTAAACTAGCAGCTTAACTTCATTTTGCAAGAGCCAGCTGGCCTCCAGTTATTTACATCTTCTCTTTTTTTTTTGATGGGAATAACAAGTACATTTTTGCACTTTTGCCAGGAAGAACAGCGGTTTTTTTAATCAGGGGAATTTTTTTTTCTGAAATCACACATTCCTTTAGTTTTTAACATAATTTTAAATTTAATTTTAACTATTTTCAAACCTTTTTTCTGAGTAGTTTCAGTTAACTAAACTCCATTTTGTGGCTTTGTTGTTCCTCAGCTTCTTCCAGAGTGAAGTAATTTTCAGTTTACTACAAAATATTATACTAATGATAATGATGATAATAGTAATAAAACTCCTCACTTATTTACACTGTAAAATGTAAACGTTTCCGTGTGTCGGATGAAGCATCCTTTCATCCTTTACCTTCAGCAATCTCCCTGAAAGTCTTCTCAGCATCTGCGCTCTTGTTCTTATCAGGGTGGTACTTCACGGCCAGTTTTCGGAAAGACTTTTTTATCTCGCTGTCCGTTGCTGTTGGCTCAACATGAAGAGTGTCGTAGTAATTTCTGTTTATCTCTTCGGACAGGGCTTCAGATAGACAGAGCAGCAGAAGCATGCAGAGTCGCAGCCAGTAGGAAGCACCTTGCGCTGCCATGTTGAGGAGCGCCCCAGCACAGAGAGAGTGAGGAGGAACTCAAAACAAACGTCGTCATGTGCACAACAGTTTATCTGGAAGTGTGGCAGACCTTGTGGTTTAGCGTCTCATTTTCATATCCACACAACGCCGTAAAGTCTCCAGTCAGCACTGCTTGTAGTAAAAGTACACCAAAAGTAGCAGTTGTTGGTGTATTTACGACAATTTCTATGGAGCTTACGACAAAAACTGTGATACATGGGCACGAAAGAAAAAGTGACCTCGTTCACAGACTGTGCACGACTCCGTGAATCCAACTTTACGTCGTGCACGAAATTATTTCGTGGTTTTAAAAATGAACAAATTGTGAACACGCTAAGGTGGTGTTCCGCATTTCCACCAATAGAGGGCAGAAAATCCCAATCAGCGAAAAAATAAGGAAGACGCCGGCGCTCTTCTTCGTTGGTATTGAAAGCTGCATTAAGAAATGTGGTAAACAGCACCAGGGCCTCGAGGAACCGCTAAAATAATGCAAGTTTTTTTTGCTTTTGTTAGCAGCGGTGTCTGTTGACTCAGTTAGAGGAAGTTGTTTCTTCGTGGGAGCTTCTCAGCTGTACTTTGGAACCTTCTCTATCCTTCGATTTGGTAAGACTGCAGTAGTACCCAGTTAGCTAGATGTTCGCTAGCCATTAGCTACCCAGGGTAGACGACGGTTTCGTAGTAACATTTAGGCTAACTTATTCTGGAATATAATACGACAGAGTATGCATTATTTACTGGTTGAAATCGGTTGCATTCAATTTAGTTGATGTTTTGTAGTGTTTTACCAAAGAACCATGTAAACAGAAGCAGGGCTATTTATTGTTTACGATGTGTTGTCACGTGCTAAATTTCTGTCCTTACCTTGTCTAAGGTAATCATATACATGTCCTGTTGTCTTTCATGTCGATATTCAAATCTCCCGTTTTAGTTCTATTGCCAGTATCTCATGCTGGGTTCGTGTTTTTGTCTTGCAGGTAATTAAACAGCAGATTGCAATACTTCGAGTGTGAAGAAACAATTAATGACTACTTCTGTGTATGTGAATGTTTGCCAGCTCACATTTGCCAGTCCCAAACACACATGAGTGCTCCTTTCTCCTTGAGCTGGGCCGAGCGCCATGCCTGACCGGGACAGTTCCTACCTGTCAGGTGGTGGTGGGAGTGGTGGTAGTCTGGGTGAAGAAGGGGGACCCGGGTCTGGTTTGGCAGGGAGTGCGGCAGAGGGCAGAGGAGGTTCGGGAAGTAGTGTCGGAGGAAGCGTCTCTGGCTCTGGGGGTATGGGTGGAGGAGGAGCGCTCGGAAATGGCAACAGCTATGGGAACGGTGGAGGCCAAGGTGCGGGACTGGCCTTGGATGGCGTCTGCCGGGACTTCATACGCAATGTTTGCAAGAGAGGAAAGCGCTGTCGCTTCAGACACCCAGACTTTAACGAGGTACCAGACTTGGGAGTGCAGAAGAACGAATTCATCTTTTGTCACGATCATCAAAATAAGGAGTGCATGCGCTCCAACTGTCGCTTTGTCCACGGATCCAAAGAGGATGAGGACTATTACAAGAAGACGGGAGAGTTACCTCTCAGACTAAGAGGGAAAGTTGCTGCACGGCTAGGCCTCTCCCCCATGGATCTCCCCCATAGCCGCGGTGAGGTTCCCATCTGTAGAGACTTCCTGAAAGGAGAGTGCCAGAGGGGCAATAAATGTAAATTTCGCCATGTCAAAAAAGACTGTGAATATGAACCAACCAGGGTTGGAGTGGGTGGCGTTATGGGGCCAGGTGTCAGTGGCATTGTGAATGCTGGAGGAGGCATGGGTGGAGGAGGAGGTGCTTGCGGAGGAATGCAGGGACTTGTGGGAGGTGGCGCAGGCGGTGGAGGTAATATGATGGGGACCGGCTGCCCTGGCTTGGGTGGTTGCAGAGATCCAGGTATCTCAGGTCTTGGAGGAGTAGGAGGAAGTGGAATGAGTGGGTGTCTGTCCATAAGTTCATCTGGACAGCGACGTTATGACAGGAGCACATGCTCAATGTTTGATCCTCTGGTTGAAAGTGGTCTGTTTGATGCTGGTTGCCTGGAGACCTCTATGGACCACACCACTTTACAGTTAAAGAGGCGACGGTTGGAGGGGCTGCGTCTGACAGATGGGAGTGGAGGTGGGCACTACGAGTTGGGAGTTCAAGCCACCTTGCCGCCTCGTCCTCTGGAGTACAGATTTCTAGAGGAAGAAAATTCCCTGCTAAGGAAGAGAGTGGAAGAATTGAAAAAGCAGGTAGGTATAAGAATCATAATATGACTTCCTGGGAATGGAGTCATGCCACCGATGCAGAATGTAAATGGCTTCAGTCATTTTTTTTTTTTTTACTGAGATACATACAAAACAAGCATTGCCAAATTCCAACTAAACGGAAACTTTATCAAGGTGTTTTATGACACATCCTGGAAAGATTTTTCAACATGACAGGTTCAAAGAAAACGCCGATCCAAACAGCATCTCAGCGGTATATCCAAAAATCCACCAGAATGTTCGTCCCATGTTTGTTAGAAGTGTGATTAGGTGTCTGCTGACAGACTTGTATATTAAAATCCCAGCGATCAACAGTTTACATTAACATTACAATAACATTTTAAATATAAGGTGAAAGGAGTTGGTGACAAAGGGGACTTTATTTCATGTAGTTACAATTAAGCAAACTTTGCTGATCTAAACAAAGAGTCATCCAGGAACCTATTTATGTGTTGCTTCTTTGGAGGATGCTAATGACACATTTTTGTGTTGCTGGGCTTTTTTTCAACATTTCGATCCCATCATATCAGATGGGATCGAAATGTTGGAAAAGAACCCAGCAACACACTGTTAAAATGGTCAATGTTATTAGTAAGAACTGAGATCATCTGCTGTCCAAAAGCACAGAGTTTAGACTGCTGTAAATGCTCTGCCTATTGAGTAGAATGGTGGACTTGAAGGGGAATGAGCTGAAATTGTTACTGAAGAGTTAATATGAAGTGAAGCTGTGCAGGAGTAAATGGGGAAGAATTTGTTTCCCCTTTAGTCACCTGACAAAAAGGCCCACTGGATGTTTTGGGGGTAAAAGGAAAAGACACTCTGTAACATCATGAGACACGCAAACACTCAGATTCTGCCGTTTTTAGCCTTCTCTCTCTGTAAAACTATGTGATAAGTTAACACGAAGTGTAAGACTACTTGTAAATGATTTCCTTTATATCTTTGCGTATTTCAAATATTTAAAGTCTCTGTGTTTCCTGTCATGAACTTTCTGCCTGTTTATACTAAACTCTTTCTTATGTGTTTTTCAGGTTTCCAATCTCATTGCCACAAATGAGGTTCTCCTGGAGCAGAACGCCCAGTTCCGAAGCCAAGCCAAAGTGATGACACTGTCTTCAACTCCTGCACCCACTGAGCAGAATCTGGCGCCCCCCGTAGGTTCAGTGAGTTCCTACAACCATAGCATCGCCCAGACTCACACCACCTTGAGCAGTGCTCCATTACAGGCTCGGCCAGTCACCCAGCAAGACCTTGTAGCTCCCGCTGGTGCCCCTGCAGCCCCCCAAACCAATGCAGCCCCACCCACAGCTCCTCCACCACACCTCAATCCTGAGATAACCCCCCTCTCAGCCGCCCTCGCACAGACCATTGCCCAGGGAATGGCACCCCCTGTTTCTATGGCGCCAGTGGCAGTATCTGTGGCACCTGTGGCAGTGTCCATGACTCAGCCGATTCCCGGGATCACTATGAGTCACGCCACCACCCCAATGGTGTCGTACCCAATTGCAAGTCAAAGCATGAGGATCACAACCCTGCCACACTGAATGATTGCAGGGGCTGCAATACCAATGAGTCGAACTGGAAATGTACTTGAACTTTAATGGGTTTTGAATTTTTACACAGATGGATTTTTTTTTTTTCTGTGTATGAGACTCAGAAGACGTTTGAACAAAGAGAGATGTGTGATAGAGACACTTCGTTTTCTCCACCAGGGGTCAGGATAAATGCTTATCCTTCCCTAAATCAGAACTTTGTTCTATGGCAACGTTACAAATGTTGAGGGTTTTGGGTTTTTTTTTGTTTTGTTTTGTTTTCGCAGATTGACTGACACAATCCCTGGCAAAGGTCTTTGTACCAAAGGGATCTTTTCATACACACATACACTAAAAATGACAAGACTTAAAACTCATGCCGTCATCTGTGGTGTGTGAAATGTGAATCGTTTTGGCAAAGCTGCAGCGTTGTCCATCTAAAGACATTGGAAACAGTTTGTTTTTTTCTTTTGATTGTTCTGGTGTAAATTAATTTTGGTACTTTGCACATTTGAAACAAAACCAACAAAAAAAAGAATTACAACCACTCAACAGTGAATCCTGTGTTTTCTGTCTTTTTACAGTTGCTTTTTTATATTTACATATGTCATAAATTGATATATTTTCATGTTGAAGTGATATGAGTGCTCATGTTTATATCCTGTTGGTCTACTTGTTTGGGAGGAGTCATGCTGTGTAAACTAGAGCTTAATATCTGTTTAGTAACTTCATGTGCGTGTGGCTCTTTAAACAGCTAAAGTATCTGGCATTGACTTCACACTCTGGGGCCTGGTGGGAGCGCTTCAAGTTGTATTTAGTTACTGTCAGTTTAGTATTTATGTAATCACGGCAAAGCAAATATTTCTGAAAACAATTACTTCAAAACCAGATATTGCACCTTCATACTAAACATGGTGCAACCAAAACATATTCTTTAATCAGAGCATTATTTTGTGGAAAGTGGTTCAAATGCAAGCCTGTACTAGCTTTTAAAATACACCCACTTTATTAGGTATGCTTGTTTAATTGTTCATTCATGCAAATGTCTAGTTCAAAGTGGGCATTGAAATTGGCAGAATAAAAAGTTGTAAAGTGGTTGTAAAATAGATGTCGGAGCAGAATGGCCAGACTGCTTCAAGCTTTAAGGAAGGTAACAGGAAATCAGAAAACCACTTTTAACAACAAAGGTATGCAGAAGAACACCTCTGAAAATAAAATAGTGAACAGCAGCAGATGATATCACTCCAGCCAGCAAAGGTCAGGAAACGGTTTGAAATTTGCATGGGCTCATCAAAATTGTACAACTGAAGTTTGGAAAGTATTTCCTGGTCTCATGAGTCTCGATTTCTGCTGGTTTGTAGGATTGGAACTTGACAAACAACCTGGAAGTATGGATCTATCGTGCCTTCTATCAGTGGTTTGTGTTTGTGGTGGTGTAACAGTGTGGAGGTATATTTTCTCTGGACCTTTAGGACCAATTGTGCATCACTGGTGCCATATACCCTACCTGAATATTACCTATCATGTCCATGGTGTACCTGTCCTCTCATGTCACAAAGGACAGAGCAAACTGGTTTCTTAAACATGAACTTGAACAAGTTAACTTTACTCAAATTTCCTCAACAGTCATCACAACGCAATGCATGAGAGCACCTTTGGTAGATGGGGAGCTTCTCATCATGGATGTGTAACCAACAAATCTGATATAATAATATGGACCAAAATCTGAAGGGAATGTTTCCAGCACCTTGCTGAATCTATGCCACCAAGAACTGGGGCAGTTCTCGGTGTGGGGGGTAGGGTATTATATACTCAATAAAGTGGCCATGCTTTAGAAACCGCATGATGACTAATGAAAAGTGTGGGCACGTGGTGTCTCTTAGAAAGTGCTTCATTTTGTGCCAAGAGGAGGAAAAAAAAATATAGACTTCAAGCAGTTTTAAATGCAAGTGTTTCCAAATTTGTCTGTTCAAGACAATTCTTAACAACTGAATTATAATCTTACTGCAAATTTATCACAGTTAATCTTTACTTACTATACTACTTATTTTTTATAATCTGATAACGTAATCCTAATTACATGTAATTAGTTACTATCCAACCCTGCTTACTGAAATCATGGCAATAGCCTGTGCGCTATTTGGGGGTTTGGGGAGAGATGATAAAGCAGTAGGAAGTATTTCCAAGCGTGTATTGTTGAGTTAATGGGTGGTCTGTGCTTCATCAGACATATACCCTTTTTTCGGATAGTTTGATTATAGAAAACTTACGAACTTCTACATAATGCTGCAGTAATAACAGTGACTGGGTAATTTGACGCAGCAAACAGTCAAAAACGCCTTTTTAGTGGGCGTGTTTTTATCCAGCTAACGGGACTGGGTGAGCAGCAGCTTTCGGGGACTTCTCCGAGATCTGTGCTCAATCAATACTACCGATCCAATCCAGCGATCGCGATCACATTTTAATTGTAGTCCGTATAAAATGCAACACTCGCGAACGGCGAATTAGCGGCGGTGCTCGTAAAGCTGACGCGCAGCAGCGGTGCGTTTGTTCAGGCAGTGGCTCGCACGAGTCATGAAACCGCAGATTAAGTGTTAGGGAAGTTCGATCGCCGTTTTAAAGACAGCAAATATCATTCAGCGAACAGCCTTGCGGTATTTTAGTGGTTTTAGAAGATAACCATAATGCAGAGCGACAAGCCGGAGCCGAGCGAATCCAAGGGCGCCGAGTGTCCGAGCACAGGCGACCGCGAGAAGAAAGCCATGAGTAACGTGGAGGCAGAAACTGACAAACCCAAGGGGATAAGTGCAGTGGCGGTACTCTGGACCTTTGGGAAATGCCTGGGTGCCTTGCTGCCCGTCTACCTTGCCGGATACTATCGGGTCAGCACCAGTCTGCTGGTGTTCGGCATGATGATCTACACGGGATGGAAACATGCCCGAGAAGGCAAGGAGACGCGCCTGAAGTCAGCCATACAGCTGCTCGACAACGAGCAAGAGTACACATCCACGAGAGTGTCCAAAATCAAGCGAGACCTTCCTGCATGGGTAAGACATGAATGTACCTGATGGCCTGAGAGCATATTAAACTTTCTGCTGCTGCACTGTCTCCCCCTTAGCCCACTTTGGCCTAGAGTAACCTTACATTACACAAATCAAGCAAAGCCTGGCACTGGACCATGCAATCACAATACCACTACAGAGGCTACTGTAGGGTGTAATGAGTATTTTTGAGTGATTTATCCCCAACCAGTAATTATTATTTGCTGCGATGGAACTATGGCATGCACCACAGCCTAGTATAGCCTTGAAAAACTTTGCTGCACCGTTGCTCTTTAGCTCCTCAAAGGAGTATGCAGTTTTGTAGAACTCTTTGTCCCTCTTCCTTTCATACAAAGACACTTCCTAAATTCATTGCACACGTGTTTAATTTTAAAACGAAACATGTCTAAAAGCACACAAGGGGATTGTTGCTTCAAAAACAGCTCCAAAAACACTCAAACTGTCTAATCAAAACTGAATGGAGAATGTGTGAGGACACTAGACCTGCAGTCTATAGTACATCTTTGTAGTAATTGTAGACAGAACGCAAATTCAGAAACCCACATGTGCCTCTGTCATCTAGGAGTATCTGGCCACACCCAAGTGAGGTTCTGTGGGTTCCTGTTTCAGGAGTGATTAAAATGATTGCGTGCATAACCAGACAGAATGCATCTCCTCACTGAAAGGTTCAAAACAGATTTCTCAACATTGTCATGTGACAGTGCTTTGTCTGAGAGAAACCTATGAAATATGCATGGGGGGAAACACTTCAAGCACATATATTGCAAAAGTATCTTGACAACTGACTTACAATGCTTAATATGTAATAGCCACATCATTTTTAAAGTGATCTTTTTATATAACATATCTTCATCCATTTTTTTTGTATAGTTTTTGAAAAGCTTTTTCAGTCTGAACCCTCAGGGAGAGAGCACTGTTGTGATAGCAACAAAGTTACCGGTCATCTGTGAATGAATCATTTCCCTTTCCTCTTGTTTGTTTATCAGTTTCTATATAAAATGCCCTCTGTTTCTATCCTTCAGGTAAACTTTCCGGATGTTGAGAAGGTTGAATGGCTGAATAAGGTAAAACATCAACAAGTTCCTCTTTTTCTTCATCATTTTATTGTACAACTGTTCATTTTCCCTCAAGCCCAGCAAACACACGCCGTTCAACAGCCCAGCTGTTGTGTTGATTGACACTTTGTGTGTGCTCGCTGATAAGTAATGTTGCTACCTTAGTGGAAAAAAGGCCACACCCCCACCATTGTGGCCACTCTGTCTGTACTGCAGAGGGGAGGCCCGGTGCCAGACAGCCCACTCAACATTTCCATTTCATTGCAGCCTACCAGACTCACAGGAAAGAGGAGGAGCCACATAGCTCTCCAAACTAAAAAGAAACCCTGCAGCCCCACCCCCATCTCCTTCTAGCTCTTCTAGCCTAGAGAAAGGCCTCTAATACAGACATAAAGAAATAAAAAGCATTCAAGATAGCAGGATCACAAGACGTAAGCATTAGAAAGCAGACAAAGCAGAGGTTTGAGACTGCTTACTGGAGGGGAGGTCAGCAGATTGCTTTACTGCTCAGGCTTCATGCGCCATAAGAGCAGGCAGCTGATGACTCATTCTCCACTTATGCCAGACTCTAACCAACTGTGGGGTTTTTGTTTTTTTGACAAAGTCAGAGGCACGCAAGCAAACTGTGCTCTGTTTTTAGATTCTTTCTCATTGACAATAGACTGAAGACTGCACAGGTTTACATAGCGGTATTAATATTGTGCAGAAAGAACCACATCTAGACCACAGATGTCATACAGCATGTTGTGACCCCAAACAAGAACACTAACAGCTGAGGAGGTTTGGTACACTGCAGCTGTCTCTGTCATTCTTTCTGGTATTTCAAACAGAAGGCGAAAGTATACTTGAAGCAGTCGTCTCGGTTATGTTTATGAAAGATAAAAACATCGTATTAAAGCATGTGCTTGATATCCTGGCCAGGTCCTGCAGCAGGTGTGGCCCTTTGTCGGCCAGTACCTCGAGAAGCTGCTGGTAGAAACCATCGCTCCTTCTATCCGAGCCTCAAGCAGCCACCTCCAGACCCTCAGCTTTACCAAGGTGGACATGGGAGACAAGGTGATGACACTGAGAGTTTACACAATGCTATGGATTTGCAGCAAAGATCCACACAAGTGATGCATGATGGAGTTATACTGTTCAAACAAATGTCCTTTATGTTTGCTTTAGGCCATGAAGGTTGTAGGGATCAAGGCACACACAGAAAATGACAAGGGACAAGTCTTGCTGGATCTGTATATTAGGTGACTTTTTACTCTTTTGCTTTTTACTCTCTCTTTACTGGAATGTTTCCAGGGTGCTCATATTGGTGACATTTTTGTGCTTATATCTTCAGCTACGTTGGCAACGTGGAGATCAATGTTGAAGTGAAACGGTACTTCTGCAAAGCTGGAGTCAAAGGCATACAGGTTTGTCTTCTTATCCAAGCTTAAAACTACTATGTGGTGACATTATTAGACAACCATTTCATGTAAAGCTTTTAAATGCCAATCTAAAGACCCAGAATTCAGTAAAATACAAAGAAAATCTGCTTTTCTTTATTTAGTGATAATTGGCCTTTCTGTTTCTCTTTTGCTTCAGCTACACGGGATGATGCGAGTGATCCTTGAGCCTCTGATTGGAGATGTGCCTATTGTGGGTGCAGTCTCTATGTTTTTCATCCGTCGGCCTGTAGGTCAATTTATATTTACAATTCACCTCCATTAGTCCTTCTCTTGTTGCACCTTCCAACCCCCATTCCTGTCAATAACACGTGTCCTATAGTCTTGTATGCTATTGGTTTGCTATCAGTCCTTAAAGATTGCTCTACACGGTTCCTTCTTATCTCTTCCCAGAAACTAGACATCAATTGGACTGGACTGACTAATTTGTTGGACATTCCTGGACTGAAGTGAGTCATGCTGAAAAAAATCTTGCTTTACACATTATTAATAACCATAGCCTTTAAAGGGAACCAAGTCTGCTTGTTTCCAACTAAATGTTTCCAACTTCATGTACGCTATTCAAGAAGCTTTGCATGATCATGATTCACAGTTAAAAATAATCCCTACTCATCCTATGCAGTGATTTTGTAAAGCCCCACAGTTTAGCTTTACCTCTTTTCCCTTCTGCAGATTCAAGGCAAATTTCTCCTAATTGAATGCCCTTCATAAACAGACAAGTGGGCGTGGCTTCTCTCTGCTTGCAAGAGATGAACATTTTAGTGACGTGAGCCTGATCAAGATCGTTTGGCTCAGAGGAATTACCTGTACATAGGCTGACTTCATTGTTTGAAACTTCTGTCATATTTAAGATGTGCATGCAACATTAACAGTATATTTATAAGAGAAACTAAAGAAAGTACAATATTTTCCCTTCAAAAATGTCGTTTCAATAATTTACTTTTATTGTACAATGAAAATTAAATGATTTTTAGTGCTGCCACTGAAATATTACTCTGTTCTATGTTTTAGTGTCATGTCAGACAGCATGATTATGGATGCTATCGCCTCCTTCTTGGTGCTGCCCAACCGCCTGGTTGTCCCGCTGGTTCCTGGCCTGCCTGTGGCCCAGCTACGCTCTCCTTTGCCCAGGGTAAGGCCTGAATATTCATCTGCACATTCAGACTACAATTGTACTTCAAGCTTTAAAACACTAGTATATGAACCTCTTCTCCTCTCTCAGGGTGTTGTACGCATCCACCTACTGGAGGCACAGAAACTAGTAGCCAAGGACAACTATGTGAAAGGGGTCATGGCAGGCTTGTCTGACCCCTACGCCATATTAAGGGTGGGACCTCAGACCTTCACCTCCAAACACATTGACAACACAGATGCCCCCAAGTGGGGAGAGATGTATGAGGTGAGGAGAAAGGTTTTTTGTTTTCTTTGTAAACCATCAGCACGTAAATTGGAAAATGTTGTCTTTCACACATCATTTCACTTTGTTCTGTATTTGAGTGTTTCTCCTGATATATCAGTCACTGGCATTGTTCATTTTCATTCCATACAAGCCCCTTTGTCAGTCGTCATGTCCTTATTTGTGTTCCGTACATCAGGTTATTGTCCATGAAGTACCTGGTCAAGAGTTGGAGGTTGAGGTATATGACAAAGACCCAGACAAGGATGATTTCTTGGGCAGGTACATATGCATAATTCATGTCCTGGTTGAATCTCATGTTGTCACCTTTCATTTGTCACCTGCATGAACAGTGGGGAAAAGTACTTCGAATGTACAGAGTCTCCTTTCTGTTCTGTTGATCATTGAAATTGCACTACTGTATTTTGTTTTTAATCCTTCTTGTCTTGCACTCCTCCTCCCTATAGGACCAAATTGGATTTGGGCATTGTGAAGAAATCCATAGTTGTCGATGATGTAAGTGAGCAGTTTTCTTTTTTATCTTTGCCACACTGAGGATGATTTTTTAATCATAAGACGGTGAAAGTATGTCTGAATGTGTCTTCCCAGTGGTTCACTCTGAAGGACACAGATTCTGGACGGGTTCACTTCAGGCTAGAGTGGTTGAGTTTGCTGCCAAGCACTGATCAACTAGAGCAGGTCTGAGTGTCTAATTTTCACTGATGATCAGCTTTTCGTGTGTCATCGAGGAGACTTGTGTTTGTTGTCAAACAATTACACTAAAGGAAATGTTGTAAAATCACGATCTAGGTCCTGAAGAGGAACGAGAGCATCACCAACAAGAATGCTGATCTCCCTTCTTCAGCCATCTTGGTTATCTATTTGGATAAGGCTGAGGCGCTTCCTGTGAGTCAAATAAGTGTGCTTTCTGTGCCCACATTCGTGCACAGCTCAGAGCTGCTTCCTGTGTGTGGTTAAACTAACTGAGCTGTAACTGCTATTTGTTTCGCATTCCACAAGTTTGTTGCCTTGGCCTCAAACCCAGTTTAATCTGTTCCACTGTTGATGAATATGGGTAACTCTATCCAAAACTGTTACACACTTTTCAGACTCTTCTAATTTTGTCATATATTTAAGAAGAAAAACAAAAGTTAAAGAAACTTTGGAAGAAAACCCCCAGCTTATTGTTTTTTCTCTTTGCTAACTTAGACTTCCTGATTGTGCCAGGCAGCACGGTGCTTCATTTCAGTTATTTGTGCTGTTGCTATGGTAGCCATGCACATACTTTCATTGTGACCGACCTCATGTTCTTATAATAGTAGATAAATCTATTTGTTGTGCTGCTCTTGGTTACAGAATGTCAGTGTCTTACTCTGCATTCATATCTGTCTGCAACTGTGTACGTTTTAGATGAAGAAGGGAAATAAAGAGCCCAATCCCATGGTGCAGTTATCTGTGAAGGACGTCACTAGAGAGAGCAAGGTACATCTCCTGGGAAAGCCATTTAAAATTCTCTTGATATGTTTTGTTTATTTTTTTGTCATATGCACATTTTTCCGTCTTCTCTTTAGACTTGTTACACAACCATTAATCCAGAGTTTGAAGAAGCTTTTACCTTCTTCATCCACGATCCTCGCAACCAGGACATAGACATTCAGGTAGTAGATGATGAGATTATGTACCATTTACTATGCAATAAAACTCATCTTTGATAATCTGACGGGTGATGGTGTTGAACTGTCTTTTCTTCATTAGGTGAAGGATGCTGACCGTGTGCAGACGCTGGGAAACCTGACCATCCCGTTGTCCCGTCTCTTATCAAATTCCAATCTTTCCCTGGACCAATGGTTCCAGTTGGAAAACTCTGGATCAGCCAGTCGCATCTACCTCAATGCGATTCTCAGGGTAAATGGGACTAAGACCTATGATCCTGCACTGTTATAATGTCTAATAAACACACTAACAAAAAAGTGGAGTGTAGGAAGTGATTAATTCCAAATTCAATTAAGAATTTTTGTCTTTCTGCTTCTCCTTTTTCCCATTTCACCAAAGGTCCTGTGGTTAGACGAAGAGCGCATTCCATCTGATGTGTCCTCCAGCTTATCCCAACAGCTCCCACAGCAGACCTCTGCCCATCCTAGCTTCGCTACAGAGGTAATACAGGACAGTCCAGTTATTTTTTTCTTTTTACTTGATAGCTCTTAGGATCTTGCTAGTATTTTTTTTATTTTTTAAAAATTTAAAATGCACATTTTTATTTCAGGGACTGCTGAGAATTCACCTGTTGGCAGGTCAGAATCTTGTTCCGAAAGATAACCTGATGGGAGGCATGGTGAAAGGCAAGAGTGACCCCTATGTCAAGATCAGCATTGGGGGTGAAACATTCACAAGCGAAGTTATCAAAGGCAATCTTAACCCCACCTGGAACGAGATGTATGAGGTAAGAAATTGCTGTAAATTTTTAAAGAATAATCTGCGCTTTTGTGTGTAATTAAGTAAGGAATTTTATTTCAAGACAACTGGTTCACATCAAATAAAAACAAAAAACAAGAAAATAGAGAACCAGAGAGCCATTTTAAAATAAAATCTAATTCCAAGTTTAAAAAGACAAGTCTTCAGCTGCTTTTTGGCTGAGTAGTTCATTTAGTTGCAGTGTAATTAGTTAAAAAGGGTCCTTTGAGATGTGTACTTGGTTTGCCCCTCAGGTTATTTTAACCCAGCTTCCAGGCCAGGACCTGCATTTGGAGGTCTTTGATAAAGACATCAACATGAAGGATGACTTCATGGGCAGGTAACTATATCTAAATCAAGCATCACAATGCTTATTACCATCTACATGATCTATTCTAATCTTGTATGTGTTGACATGCAGGCTGAAGATCAGTCTAAAGGATCTCATTGATGCTCAGTACACTGATCAGGTGGGCATGTGCTACAGTGTTAGCCTGTAGGAATGTGATTAGCCACCTACATAGAGTTTTAGTATTTCAGGTACAGACACATATGAAATTTTAGAAAAATGCAAATGATAGATCTGCTTGAACTTTTTCTCTAAAATTACTTAATTAAAGATAGTTCAGACATTAAAATGATTTCTCTTTATTTTTCAGTGGTACACGCTCAGTGATGTGAAGTCTGGTCGTGTACACCTGATATTGGAATGGGTTCCAACAGCCTCAGAGTCAGACAGATTGGACCAGGTCAGTAATATCGAAACAAGCCACGGATTAATGAACACCTTGTGCTGAGCTTGATTTATATTCTGCGGTTGCTTCCTGCATCTTTAGGTTCTTCAGTTCTATTCCCAACAGTCCTACAAGAACAAAGCAGTTCCCTCGGCAGGCCTGCTGTTTGTGTTTGTCGAGCAGGCAGATGGATTGTCAGTAAGTCTTTTAATACTGCTTTGTAGGACAGACTGTAGAACTAGGAGCTGACCTTTGGACTCCAAATAAATATTACTGACTGTTGTCTCTTCCTGCAGGTGAAGAAGAGTGGAAAAGATCCAAAAGTAGGAGCAGAGTTAACTCTTGGAGCAAAGTCTCGAAAAACTACAGTAAGACTTCAAGCCCTCATCCTGATACTTCTGCTTCTCTTTCAGTACTAAGATTGGCAAAGAACTCTATGGATTGACTCTTTTGTCTCGTCTTAAGGTGTGTGATCGTACAACATCACCTCAGTGGAATGAAGCATTCTGCTTCCTGGTTCGTGACCCCAGAGAGGCTATTCTTCTTGTTAAGGTAAGATGACTTCGGTGTATTATAAAACTTATCCTCATGTAAACAGATCTCTCATATAGAAGTTGTTAATACCAAATATTGTGTTTTTCCAGCTCTCCCACAGCTGGACCTTACCCATGGGCTCTGTGGTTATTCCTATTCGAGAGCTGCTCTCTGAACCAGAGCTGGTCCTGGACCAGTGGTTCCATCTGGATGGAGCCTCACCTGAGAGCCAGATTCTTTTGAGAACTGAACTCAAGGTATGTCAGTCTTTGTCTCTCTCAGTTTTTCAGTTCAACTTTTTTTGTTTGTTTGTTTTGTTTTTTTGTTATCTTCTAAATCAAGCATAGTTGTAGTTTAAGTGAGTCAGAGCATCAACATATCAGTTGATCTCAGTGCCAGTCCACAGTTTCTGAGGGCTCATATAGGGCACACTATATGAGCCGCTTTAGTTGCTGAACCCCTGCAAGCTGCTTTGCAACCCTCCTTTACTCCAGCTCCTAGTATCTTGCTTTGTGTGATATATCGGTGTCATAGCTGTTGTCACTGTTGCCTGCTCTGTATTCTTGCTATTATTCTTGCTGTTGCGCCCTCTGCCCAGAGGCTTTCCATGTTAGCATAGTGCAGCCAAAGGAGGTGGCAGAACAAAGCTATGCTTAATTTAAATCACTGCAGATACAAATATCAATCTTCAGTTTTAACTATGTTGGTTTAGACCGAAATATTTAACATATTTCATATGAATAAGTGAATATCATTAACTTTTGTTTTTGCAATAAACCCCTTTCTCTGACTTTAATTCTCTCTTTTATTTCCTTTTTTGCTCATTTTTTTGTTCTTTTTCTAATTTGTTTTTGCAACGGGTGTAATGACTGTGTAATAAATAACATAGTTAATTTAGAACAATGTCCATTTAACTACAGATGCTGATTCCAAGCAAATGTCCTGTTACCGCTGATAAAACTAAGGCGACTGCGGTGTCAGATCCTTCTGCTGCTAAGCAGAAACAGGAGACAGAAAAAACGCTCAAGTAAGATTATTTATTCAGTAAAGTCTATTTCTGTTTAGCCACCAGATTTCCCTCTTAAACTTGACTGATTTCTAATCGCTGTGTTTTTAGGTCGAGCTCAATAGACACTCCCCCCGTGGAGACTATTGTCTCTTCGGTGACTTCGCATGAAGATGCCGATGCCAAAAAAAAGGCAGCTGATTCGATTCCAGATGAGACGGAAGAAGAATCACCAAGTCCTGCCATAACACAGCCTCCTCATACTTCCCCAGACATCAGCTTTGCCAGTCAGGTAACATCACAACACACTGATCTACAGAAGCAGATATGAGAAGCAGGGCACGACAAAATCCTGTTTGTTAAAAAGCCGCATGGATGAAAATATCCCTCCCTTTAGGGTCTGCTGAGGATCATCCTGCTGGAGGCCCAGAGTCTTGTTGCCAAAGATAAAGTGATGGGTATGGCCAAAGGCAAGAGTGACCCTTACGCTAAGATCAGTGTCGGTGAAGAAAGTTTTAAGAGCAACGTGATCAAGGAAAACCTCAACCCGGTCTGGAATGAGATGTATGAGGTGTGTATGAGGGGCTGCATAAAATCAGAAGGCCTGTTACCACCTAACATCTGTGACTTTGACTAAACTTGTTTGTGTTCTCTAAGGTGGTTTTGAGGCCTCAGTCAGGACAGGAAATGCAAGTGGAACTGTATGATAAAGACATGGACAAAGATGACTTCCTGGGCAGGTAGGGGCTAATGTGGAGGTCTACACTTGTTCAGAACTGAGTCAGATCACACTAAGATAACTACCTGAGCATAGCAGTTGGTAAACAAATGTGTATACTGGCAAAAAAAACCCAGTGTCAGTCGACCATGAGATGATGTTTATCACAGTACACTAGTAAAAAAACAACAACACTGTTTCTAAATTCAAAATCGCTGAAACAGGAATTGTGCATAATGTGCATAATCTTCTTTGTTGACTAGATTCAAAATCAGCGTGGCAGACATAATCAGCTCCCAGTACTTAGACCAGGTGGGTATTGTAGATATTTTCTTACTAAATGTGTGTACGCCTTGTGCATTTATAAACTGTAATCCAATGTTTGAGCACACCTCTGTTTCAGTGGTACACCTTGAATGATGTAAAGTCTGGGCGTGTCCGTCTGATCCTGGAGTGGGTTTCAACAGTGTCCCATAATAACACCCTAGACCAAGTCAGTGCATGTTTCTGTACACAAACAAAATGCTCCTTCTCTGATTCGCTGTGCACATCGGTGCTGAGTCACTAATGTATTTTTTATTTGATTCTCTGCTGCAGGTAATGCATTTGCTGTCTCTGCAGTCTTACCAGAACAAGGCCGCTCCCTGTGCAGCACTCCTCTTTGTTTATGTGGACAGAGCGCACTCGTTGCCTGTGAGTCCCTTGTAATTTTGCACAGTGAAAATCATTATGATAGACAGTTTGATTATGAGTTCGTTTACGCACATAAAGTGAAAAATTGCCACTTTTAACACTTTATATTTTATAAGATAGTATTGGATGTCATAATTGTGGAGAATAATGTCTACTGGGATAAACTCTGATCACACTTGAATTGGAGAAGTTAAGAAAATAGATGAAAGGAATTCAAACTATTCATGTAATCTAATCTTTTTTATTTCTGTGTACAGTTCAAAAAAAGTGGAAAGGAGCCCAAGGCTGGAGCTGAGCTGGTGTTTGGTAACACAGTCTACAAAACTAAGGTATTAAAATAATAATATATGTGACATAATATACTATAACTTCACACCTGATTTTTTTTAAAAAGAGAAATAATTTATTACCACTCTTTATCCATTTTCTGCCTGAAGGTGTGCGATCGCACGAGTGCTCCTCAGTGGAATGAAGGATTCTACTTCAAAGTACACAATCCCAAAGAGGAGATGCTCATCATAAAGGTAAATGTACTGAATTTGTTACAGTACAATACACAGTACAGTACAATAGCCTTTAAAGTCTGCTGCTGCCCTCTTCATTTCAAGTGCTGACTGATATCACAAATGTGTCCTTTCGCTGTGTAGCTCTCCAGTGCGTGGGACCAGCCAATGGGATCTCTGGTAGTTCCTGTGAGACAGCTTCTCTCTGAACCACAGCTGGTCCTGGACCAGTGGATGCCTCTTGATGGAGCATTACCTGAAAGCGAGATCCTCCTGAGGGCTGAGCTCAAGGTATGAAGATATGTACACTCTACATTAATGTTACTGTGACTGACATCAAGGAACCCCAACTGAAAATGTGTCATTAACAGATTCTTAACTCGAGGATGGATGAAGTTCCACGGCCGACTGTGACCACTGTAAAGAAAGAGGACACCAGCACCCACACAGAAAAGGCATCCGCAGCAGCTGGCAAGGAGGAAAAAAGTTCAGAGATGCCAACGCACAAGTGAGTCATTTGCGTGTGAAATCTATAATCTCACGTTGAAGCTAATGCTGCTGTACCTGAGACTGTAGTCTTATTCAAAAACAGTTAAAACCAAAGTTAGAAGTGCTGCTAAGGAAAATAAGCAGTTCATACACCTTTAATTTAAACATAAATAAGCTTAATAAATGGAAGATATTAAGTGTGCTCCCTGTTGGTGAGTGAAGGTATAGGAAACGTGCTCCTTGATGTCATATACCACTTAAATATAAAGACATAGTTGCACTAGGACTGCACAGGACGCATCATTCAGATGGTATTATGTCTGACAAGCTTTATTCCAGACTTTCATGTTTTTAGAATAATGTTGCTCTTAGGTCTGTTGCAGTATCAAACCAGCCTAAAGAACCTGAAGCAAATCCTGCAACTGCTACAGAGATGGCTCCTCATGTTGAACCAGCACATGACCCATCCCCTGCTGCCGCAGTGAGTCACATCACACAAAAGTCAGTTGTTACTCTGCCCCAGATGTCTGTTTTCGTCTTCATAACATTAATGTAATTTTGCTCAGCTGGTGGACAAGCCAGCAGATGCAGAAGAGCACCGCACACAGCCCCACACAGCAGACAGAGGAGACTTTGAACCACAGAAAAAGCAAACAGAAGGGTGAGCTCCACGTGACAGCAAACACAACTATATTGTTCCTTCAGTTTTTCATATTTTTGTCATGTTTGCCTCAAACAAACAATTTGAAAAAAAAAAACATAATGAGAAAAAAAATCTTCTCCATTTTCTGTGTGTTTGGATATGAATGAATTTCCAGTTTGGGCAATCTTGCTCACGCCACAGTGGCAGGTCTTCCCACTGACACTAAAAAGCCAGAAGTGGTTCCTGAAATCCCCAAACCTGCTCAGGTTCTTCCACCACACACAACCCCGAGCCAGGGCTTTGCTCAAGAGGTGGGTGTAGTTCTGTGTTTGTTATCAGCATGGAAAGGAAAGCAGTATCATGTAATTTGCTTTTGAGTTCATATATACATATTCAGATCATTCTGGAGGTCTAATTCTAATGTTTTGAAATGTAGGGCTCCATTAAGCCTGTGTTTTTTCATTACCTCACATTAGACAATATCCTCCCAGCGATTCCATGTGTCCTCAGATATTCGGTGGGGATAATTAGATAAATGGATGCTGCTGGGATTCAACTTATCATTTGGGTTTCTAAACAGCCCCTCGTGTCTCTTTCTGCACAGCAGGATTTTCCTTCTTCCTCCTGTTATTTTACTCTGAGCTCTACTAGAATGGCCCCCTCTGTTGTGTCATACCAGCTTCAAGGAAGAAGAAGGACATCTAGAGGCTTAAAACAAAATGAGCATGTTGCAAACGCAACTTATAATGTAGGATACTCTTAATGATGGATCCTTTGCTAATTTGAACAAGAAAAGCAGGTTTTCATTAAGTAGTTAAACAAATCTCTGATTGATGGTTATTTCTAAAGATTTATCTATGAAAGTGACAAAAGAATGTCAGATTAACAGCTAGTAAGCAAGAAATTCCTGTTTTCCAGTCTTCCGTGGGAAGGACAGAAATGACCTGGATCACACTGAAATGTATACACTGACTTAATAAATCCAACGAACGTCTGCTCTGTTCTGTGGTACTTTCTGTATAACACTTGCGGTCTTCATGCTGTAGGGGCTCCTGAGGATTCACCTGCTGGAGGCCCAGAATCTGGTTGCAAAGGATAACCTGATGGGGGGGATGGTGAAGGGCAAGAGCGATCCCTATGTCAAGATCAACGTAGGCGAGGTTGCATTCAAGAGCCATGTTATCAAGGAGAATCTAAACCCAACATGGAACGAAATGTATGAGGTAAGCTGTTTAAGGTTGTTGTTTATTATCTGAGCTTTGATTTGTCTGAAGTAGTTTTTTTGACAAATGTTTGCTTCTCTTACTTTTAAACAGGTCGTTGTGAAAGGGCACAGCATCCAGGAGATCAAGTTTGAAGCATTTGATAAGGATATAGATTCTGATGACTTTCTAGGAAGGTGTGTTTCCTACTCTAAAGAATCAGTGCTGTGTTTCACTGGTCTAGCTTGATTGCAGCTTCCACCTCGAGCCATGGAAAATGAAAGATAACACATTTTTGTTTTATCTAAAACAAATTTCCACCTGTATAAAATTAATTGAGAATACCATTTACATTATTGTTATTAATCCAGTATTGACTGCTTTTTTCACAAAGCTTGTCTCTTAAAACTCCTGACATCTGGAAATCAGCCTGAAGTAAACATGGTCATATTATGTGAACTTAAACTCGTGCTGTTGTTAATCATTTGCCTGTATTCGTGTTCACAGATTCAGTATTAAGCTAAATGAGGTCATAAGATCACAGTACACAGATCAGGTTAGTCATGCAAACCTTGAGCCACACCCTGTGTGTTTTTAACTCAGTGTTGCCTGTTTTCCTCGTACAAAGAGTTTGTCATGCTTCTCTAACAAACGTTGTCTCTCTTACAGTGGTACACTCTGAAGGACGTGAAATCTGGACAGGTTCACTTGATACTGGAGTGGGTTCCTGCAGTGTCAAATGCAGCCAGACTGGAGCAGGTGGGCCCTGCACCGTGTTAATAAACTCACTCAGTTCAGCCTCGCTCTGTTCATTTAAACATGGAGTTATATGCCTCCGGTCTCCTAGAATGCTGTTGAGCAACATAGCACCACACAAGGTATATTCACTTTGCAAAATAATCACCTGACCTAACTGGCTGTGCTCCATGCCACAGGTGCTGCAGCTTCAGTCTCTCCAGGCTTTTAAGAACAAAGCTGTCCCTGCTGCAGCTCTGCTCTTTGTCCATATAGACAGAGCACATTCATTATCTGTAAGTCGCCCGCAGTTCATTGATACACTGTGCACAAGTTGACAGAAACGATCCCACGTGCTGTGTAACTTGAATGCCTCTCTTTTGCTTCATAGTTGAAGAAGAGTGGAAAAGAACCAAAAGCCGGAGCTGAGCTTGTTCTGGGTGAAACAGCCTACAAAACCAAAGTGAGGCTCTTTCTCTCATGCTGCTCTGCAACTCAGTGTGATAATTGCTTTTTTTCCTGCTATATTAATCGTATCATTTCATCACACTTTATCAGCTCTGTGACCGCAGTACCAGTCCTCAGTGGAATGAGTCTTTCTACTTTGTGGTCCATGATCCTAAGCATGATATGCTTGTGGTGAAAGTAAGATATTTATCTACATCTGTTTTTAACTTTTGCCATACTTCTTGCATTCATTTCTGTGTACAGATTTAATTTGTTTACATGTAAGAGTACTAATATTGGGGTGATTTTCATTCTCACTCTCTTTTGCATTGCAGTTGTCGAGTGGCTGGGACCAGCCAATGGGATCTCTGGTGATTCCTGTCAAGAATCTGCTTGCAGAGCCACAGCTGGTTCAGGATCAGTGGTTCCATCTGGATGGAGCATCACCTGAAAGTCAAATCCTGCTTAGGGCTGAACTCAAGGTGATAACATCTGACAGATAAAAGCAAATGAGTTGACTCGTTACTGCGCACTCTTACTGTTATTCTGGATGTGTTTTATAGATACTGGCATCCAAAATGACGGATTTGATTGGTGCAGGGACTTTGCCCTGTGCTGCTTCTGGGTGCAGTTCTGGAAACGGGCAGGTGAAGCTGTCGCTTTCATACGCCTCGCAAGAGAGAAAGCTCATTGTCATCGTTCACGCCTGCAGGTGTGTGAAACAAAACATTTAAATCGCATGAGTGCTGCATATGAATATTATGCATCTGAGGCTGTGTTAAAGGAAGGTGTTTGTAATATTATAACACAACCTCATCATAACTTCATCATAAACTTACCATGTTTCTGCGTGGGGTCAAAAACAGGTCATAAAAGAAATTCATGTTTATTTTCACCAACTTTATACTGACAGAAAGATCATTTTGAATTCATTTTGCACATCTTCTGATGTGGCTGTACGAAAACTGAATTCAGCACATGATGGAAACAACACCTGAGTCCATCAGGAATGCCTGTATGTTGTTGCATTGAAAAACATTCTGCTCTGCATTTCTGTTGGTCTCTAACACTTTAGGAAAAACCCACAAATAGGGAAATTATTAATGATAACTCAAAGAATATTTCATGCTATGTTGACTGCTCCATATATTGAAGAAGAAACTGTATTGCTCTAACATACTAAATGAAAAATAATATGTCTCCATCATATGATATGACAACCTTTTCGCACGAACTGTGAGACCGTTAATTTTATAGGCTAATGCTTTATGTTCATTTAACAGATGCTAGATTTTAATAGAGTTATCCAGGGTATGAGTGATCTAATGGTAGCAGATTTTCTGTTAGGTAGAAAATATATTCATAGACATTGTGGGCTTTACCAATAGACGCACAATGAAGCATCTTTAGGAAATGCACCCCCTGTCCAGTGGACACTTGGAGTGAGAGCTGCAACTTATACTTATATCTGAGTTTCTCATGTTTGCTTGTTGTACTTTTGCTTTTGAAGTTGACTGTTCATGAACTCAAAATAACTCCCGGGAAACATCAAAGTGCTCCCACCCCTGCTGGCATGTCTTAAAACATTTTTACAGTTAACTTTTGTTCATCTTTGCTATATTTCATTTTTATATTGTTTATTTTTTTATCCACACAGAGGTCTGTTGTCGCAACATAAAGATGGTGTGGACAGCTATGTCTCCCTCATGCTGCTGCCAGATAAAAGCAAGGCCACTAAGAAAAAAACAGGAGTGAAGAAGAGAGACCTCAACCCAGAATTTAATGAAAGGTTGCACTACCTTTTTTCTCCTTTGTAGGTTTTGTTATCCCTAAAGATCTGACCTAGTGTTTTAATAATCTTTTTGTACTTTCTTAAAGGTTTGAGTATGATCTGCCTAAGGACGAGATAAGATTCAGACGCCTCAGTGTATCAGTGAAAAATAACTCCTCTTCATTCAGAAGCCGAGACGTCATTGGACAGGTCAGACTGAAATCATATTTGTGGCTCTTCCTGCATCTGTTACATGGCTTTAAATATACTGCCAAACAGCACACTGAGATTCGGTTGGGTAAAATGTACTCCAATCTCCTCACTGTGCCTTAGCTGGTAGCGTAAATTGCATTGATTCCATAAATGTGTTTTATCTTTTCACTCTGAAATGCTGTGAATACAGGCAGAAACTGTGTTTGTGCAGATGCTGACATGACATTCCCATTCTTTAGGTGCAGCTCGAGTTGGCTGAGGTGAACCTCGTGTCTGGTGTCACAGAATGGTGAGCAGAAGAGATCTGGTTTCATCCAGACTGTATTTACATTTATTCAAATGCTCAAGCTTGATGGTCATTATTTCTGACCATTTTTATTGACCATCAGGAACTCTTACTATCATTCAATGACTGTTCCACCTCATCTTCCAGGTTCACTCTCAAGGATGAAGCTGAATAGAAATCGCTGCTTGCTGATGCCGTAGGACAGCGATGAAAACGTCATCATTCGAATCCTGCTGCTGCTAATCACACCGATGCCTTCTCCTCTGTACTTCTGCACACAGTGCCAGCATGGCAGCCTTACCTGTATCCACCCAGCTCACTGTGTTATAGCATCTAGTATAGAAGTGCACAGCTCTCGTATTCACATACAACCACATACATACAAGTCACCAAAGATAAGTAGAAAGAAGCAGCTAAGTTTTAAAAAAAAAGAAGGTGTAAGTAAGTTATGATTGAAAATTATATGAAGAAATTGAATTTAAAGACTGAACAGAGAAAGTGATGGATGAAGTGACCTGAAGGTGTCATGTTACATTTTATTGCTTTGTTTGCTCCTTGTTGCTGTGAGAGTGTTTTAAATCTTGTTTGAAGTGCAGCAACATTATAGCTTTTAGTTGATTTTCATGTATCACTCATGAATTTTAATGCCATTTCAGTATTTTAATCTTGTTTTGTTTACCAGATTAAGGTGGATTTTTTTATATTTCACATTGCCACGCAGCTTTTGAGAGTGCCTTTGGAAATAGTTTTTGTATGGTTATTTTTTTACAGCTAAGGATGTGTTACACATATTTCCCCAGTTATGGTTTAATTTGTGTATATTTGCAAAGGTCATTGATCAGGTGGGAAAATGTTATTGAAAAGATGGCAACAAAAATAAACTGATTTTGCACAGCTCACATTTCTGCAGAACAAAAGACTGTTTCTGTATAAATTTGTTACCTTTTGTACTTTGCTCTTGTTATGTTTTAATTGCTTTCTTGCTTGCTTATTTACTACGGGTGTACTGTACATGAAAAGCTCGGACTCTTCTGAGTCTAAAAAGGAAATGTTTTTGCAAACTTGAGTTCAGAATATAAAGAATGAAAGGATGTATGTAAAGCTAGAAAAAACAAATTCTCAATTCATATAAAAAACAGTGTCAAAACTATGTACAGCAAGTAGGAACAAATAGAATCATGAATTTTATTAATTCAATTTTGTAACAGTTTTATTTTGTGAATATTTGTGATACAATTTCTACTGAATTTTTGTTATTCTCTTTGATATATAGAAGAGTTATTGTAGGCACAGTCAGTACACTAGTTTTAGGGTGGCCTGGTCAAAGTCAGGACTTAAATCTAATTGAAATACTTTGACATTTTCTTAAACAGGTTGCCCATGCTTGAAAACCCTCCAGTGTTGCTGAATTGTAATAATTTTGAAAAGAATGAGAATGAGCCCCCACAGCAATGTGAAAGACACATTGCCAGTTATTTCAAATGGTTGACGGTCACAACCAGTAATTAGGTTTAGGGAGTAATTCATTTTTCATATATGGTCAGGTAGGTTAAAAAAAAAACTTAATAAATGAAATCACAATTTAAAAACAGAATTTTTTAAAATTCTCTTTGCCTAATATGAAAATGTGTTTGATGATCTAAAACGTCCTGATGCATGCTCAATCATCCAGGTAAGTAAATCTCCAAAAATCTCCAAAAGTTGATTTGGAGATGATCTAAAACATGTCAGAATGTCAATATGCAAACAAACAAAAACAACAAGTAACCAGGAAGGGAGCATATACTTTTTCACTATACTTTACACCACCTCACACACAGAGAGAGATGCAAGCATTTAACACACCGTATTTCACATCAACTGTAAACTTTATTTGAAATATCTAGCGAATAATAAGTCAAACATAAACAGATAGTTTATTTCCATGGCCATTTTAACTGAGCCAACGGATTTTATTTGTGCAGCAAAAGAAAAAAAAACGCACATTAAAAATTTGGTGCGATCACTGTGACGCTGTTGTTGTGGAGGAACGTTTTCGCTTTCGTTTATCAGCAAAAGTCACTTTTTAAAGTAGCCAGCAAAGGTAAGTAGAAGCTTCATATTTACGAGCAATAAATGTGATTCGGTAAGCACAATGTGTATATTTAATGTGTAAATTAAATATAACACATAAAAAAATGATATTTGCATTAAGGAAATGAAGTAAAGAGATAATAACGGTTCTCAGTACGCCATTTTGAACAATATCCTACTGAGAAAATGTTTTTTAAAATTCACCAGATAAAGAACTTTTGAATGTTTGAATAAAAAGGTAATTATGTTTCGTGGGCCTAAGCTGTTTGTTTGGTGTGTTTTGAAGGGAAAAGACTGTCACTATGTCAGCGAACGTCTATGAAGCTGAGCCCATGAAAGTCGTAAGTTGCAGAAACCACGGCTATGAACCAGCCAACCAACACTGCATCAGACTGAAGAATAGCTTTAAAAGGAGCGTTGGCATTAAACATGATCAATACATTTTCACAGTGACTTGCTACAATAGAAGACGTACAATACTGTGTATGGTTGTGTGTGTGTGACAAATAAAATTTGAATTTGAATTTGAATTTGAATTTGAATAGTTAAGAAAAACAGCATTTCGACACATTGATTTTCTTTTATATTTACAAATACTTTTCTCCCTTACAGTTTTATAGTAAACTACTAAGAGTAACAGTCGGTAACATCCAACATATATTGAAACAACTGTATTTAGTCTATCTAGAGTTTTAAGGTGACAACGGGACAATTTTGAAATCATGATAAAAGTAGTTCATCTCACATTATTTATGTATACTATATATATGAAAAATGCACACTAAAACATCTATGTTTACAATGTTAGGAAGATCTAAGCTTGTTTAAATAAATTAAAAATGAAAATTAAATTAAATTAAAAAGTGTTTTATTATGTTTCTATCACAGGATGATGAAGAAGTTCTATTTGTCCTCTCATTGAAGTGGACAAATCTAAAAGAACCACAAAAAGTGAAGAGGCTTGAGACTCGTCTACATAGAACGCTTCAGACTTGGTTCAATACATGCAAACATAATGTGGACTGTGCCGTGGAAAGGACCTTAAAAGATGGCCGTGTTGTGGTAAAGGCTAAACCAGCTCCAGGTGCAGTATAGTCTTGAATAACTTTAATATCTTTCTTAACTTATTCAATAAACAATTACTGAATTATAACTTATTCAGTAAAAGTATATTTTGACTTAATTCAGTATATTTATATTGGTTTTAGAAAAGAGTTCATTTTTTGTCTTTTAAGCCCTGGCTGATCTTCAGAAACTGAATAACCAAACACTAACTGGGAGGGATGGACAATCAGTCACCATAATATCCATCAGTCTCACACTGCCATCTCCAGAGCTCGATACACAAGTACCAGAGGATGCTTCAATTAACCTTTCTGCATCTCTGCAAGAGTTACAAACGGTATGTACGATGTGATAAAGCATCAATAAATGGAATAGAAATGTTACATGCCATTCCATTAAATGTACTGTACTGTATTGTGATGTACTGTATTTTTAACAGGAACAGGTTCAAAAAAGTGAACAAAGTAATGCCCCTAGAGAAGAGGTGCACTCTTGTTCCGTCCCAGTGGGTCCTTTCTGGTATGTGAGCCACATGTATGAAGAGGAAATAAAACGTATAGAGAAAGAGAATGGAGTTAAAATCATGGCAGATGTGAAGGTGAGATTTGAAGAAGATCAAAAACATGGGAGACCAGACCGTGCTCTCGAGGAGTTTGAAAACCTTGTCCAGAAAAGCTTAGTTGAATCCTGTGGCTCAGTTATTCCCCTCAAGTTCATAGAGTCAGATGAGTGGGGCAACGCCCTGAAAACCATCCAGAAAAAGGAAAGTAAGCTTTTGGTTACTCTGACTTCTGATGTAATGACTGTGCGTGGGCCAGGACAAAGTCAAGATGTTATGAGTAAGTGCTTATATGCAGATGCAATGCAGACAACAAACACACATGGTTCTCTTGCTCAGTTTTATGACCAAGTTCAGGTGGGGAAACAGAGTAGCACAGTTTCTGCAGGTGAAGAGATTTGCACTTGTTCCGTCCCAGTGGGTCATTTCTGGTATGTGAATCACATGTACGAAGAGGAAATGCAACATATAGAAAAAAAGAATGGGGTTAAAATCAGGGCAGATGTGAAGGTGAGATTTGAAGTAGACCAAAAACATGGGAGACCAGACAATGCTCTCGAGGAGTTTGCAAACCTTGTCCAGAAAAGCTTAGCTGAATCCAGTGGCTCAGTTATTCCTCTCAAGTTCATAGATTCAGATCAGTGGGTTGATGCACTGAAAACAATCCAGGAAAAAGAAAACAAGCTTTTGGTTACTCTGACCTCTGAAACAATGACTGTACGTGGACCAGGACAAAGTCAAGAGGCCATCAAAAAGTTCTTATATGCAGATACACATCGGAAAAGAAACACAGATGCTTCTCATCAAGAGTATGAAAGAGAGACTCAAGAATCACTGAAGATTGACGTGACCATCAAAGATGATTTCCCGCATGCAGGACTGATCATTGAGAAGACATTTTGGAAGTCGATGACTAACTCTTATAACAAGGAAATAGAAAAGATCAAAGCTAAGTTTAACGTAGCATTCAATGATTCAGACATTGGTCAAGGCAAAGTTAATGTCACAGCTTTCTACAAGAAAGAAGGAAATGCCTCAATGGAGAGCCACGCCCTCAGAGCACTTCTCTGTCTACACCAGAGGTTTGTTTCATCCTAATTCCATGGTGCCACTGGGTTCAGTGGCACAATCATGCAGATAAAGAGCAGAAAAGAAACATGAACAGAATGAAAGAGAGACTCAAGACACATCACTGGATATTGACATGACCATCAAAGACCATCTCCCAAATCAAGGATTGATCATGGAAGTTGATGACTACCTCTTATAACAAAGAAATAGAAAATATCAAAGCTAAGTTTAATGTGGAATTTAAAAAATCAGACATTGATCAAGGCAAAGTCAATGTCAAAGCTTTCTACAAAAAAGATGAAGGAAATGCCTCCATGGAGAGCCACGCTGTCAGAGAGCTTCTTTATTTACATCAGAAAACTGCCACATCTCCCATGAACAGTTCAATACTGCTACTGAAATGAGTTTGTCATGGGCATGACAGTAATCTCAGTTTAGTGCTAATATTTTGTGTTATTTGCATGCTTACAATGGGGTTGTTATATTTCACAATGTTACCATGTATCTTTGTTTCGTGCCTTGTGAAGCCTTATAAAAAGTTGGAGATCAGCGAAACAATTTTGCCTTAAACAAAAAGTAAACAAGCTTTGCATGTTGGTGTTTGTGTGAAATGGCTTTACTTTTATTTTGTGTCTCTTCCTACTTTGTAACACAGCTATTCATACTGCATAAATGTTCAATTTAGGATTACTGTAATGGAAATGTGAAATACTGTATATTAAAGGATCTTTCCCACTGCATGTTGAATCTACATGAAAAGATTTCATTTATTTGTAACTGCAAAGAATGGAGGAGCATTTTTAGGACGGAACCACAATATATCACTTTTTTTAAGTGGTGGCAGAAATGCTTTTTTTTATAAAAGTACAAACACAACACCAGAAAATCTCTGTAGCAAGTGAAACATGAGTAGAATTGGTAACATATTATCAGAAAATGTTTTTGATTTACACTAAAGAAAATGTCAAACAGAAAATTTCTGTGGATTGTAAATGATACATTTTACCTGTTGCATGAGTTATAGCCTGCAGTAAATTATTTTATTTACAGCATCCTGCTGTATAGCTGGTATATCCTATATCAACTAAATGAAACAAGTCAGTGCTGTACATGTGTCAGAATCATATGAGACAGTAGATATTTATCAGAAGTGAGCTTACACAAACTGCAAACCATGAGATATCAAGCCAGAAAAAACTTGTCCTATAAAAGACATCTTCTGCCCTTTTTCTGGAAATGAAGGGAGGTTTAGTATCCACAGTCATTTTAACTGAGCAAACGGACCTTTAGTCAACAACAGAGGACACTCTGTCCCAAATAAATGACAGAGGCGAACTTGCGTGTTGGGGCGTGACTGTGGCGCTGCAAGCTTTCACTTTCGTTTATAAGGAAAAAACAGTTTAAAGTAGCGAGGCAGGGGTAAGTCTAATAAGCAGTAAAGTCATATTTTCAAGATACATTTCTGTTTAGATGATACATAAAACGTGTGATATAACGTTGTGGTTGTTACAGGTTTGGTTAAAATGTAAGACATTAGAAAACTGGAAAGTGAAGTGCAACCAGGAGTGTAGCTCTGCAGGTTAGGTGGAGAACGACGTTAGCTAATTTATGGGAATAGTTTTATATAAAATCACCAAATACAGAATTGTTGGTTGTCTGAGTGCAACACACTGTGTCATGTCGTCTGTGTTTGATGTGTTTTGAAGGAAGACGATCAAAATCTTGAACATGGCCAGTGCAGAGCCCATGGAGGTTGACAGACCTGACGACATGAGCCAAGTATGTAAACTAACACCGAATCCGAATAAAATAATATAGTTTCAGGAACTTTGGTGTTAATGCAGTCATTAAATATCCACAGTGCTTATTTTCAGTAGGAGCCTTACATATTTTAAAGTGCACTTTTGAGGCCACGGTTTGCTTTTATACTTAAAAAGATTTTTTATTTTGGTGAGTTTGTGTGCTTATACTTAATGTCCTCCATTTTTTCCGTATTCTTGTAAAACGTATATGAAAGTGAAACTACTGAGATTACAATGTCAGCATAATATTAGTTTATTGGCGGTGTCCAAAAGTTGGTTCTGTTCATCTGGACATAGCGTTTTGTGGGAGAAACGTTTTGTCACTCATCCAAGTGACTTCTTCAGTCTCAGCTGACTGCAGGTTTCTCCAATCTTATAAACAGTACATTTGCATAATGACTGAAACCAGCTCACTGAAGGAACAATGGGCTGGGAGGTCAGTTCCTTAATCTTAATTATACAAATTCTCATGATCATTGATCAACAACCACTGACCAAAACCCACTGATCAATGACCACTGATCAATGGCCATGAGAATTAGCATAAGATGAAATATAAACCATCAGCATTGTATTGTAAGAGTTGTGAGATTGAGGAACTTAACAATGTGTAAAGCTGTTCAGCGTTACTTTGATCATCAGTAAGAACATTGTAAAGTTCTAAGGCTGCAAGGCGACATCAGTGTGACAAATGTGAAAATATGACACGTAGCTAAGCTCACACTATTCATTATAATACTAAAGAAAATAATTCTAAAAAGATATATCTCAACAATGCTAAACTATACTTATTTAAATTAATGATTTTCAGCATAATGTCACAGGCTTACATGTTTTTAGTGTTTTATTATTATTTCTTTTATCACAGGTTGAAGATGGAGCTCTCATTGTTCTCTCACTGAAGTGGATAAAGTCTGATGATGAACCACAAAAAACAAAGAAGCCTGAGACTAGTCTACAGAAAATGCTTCAGTCCTGGTTCAACAAATGTATACCTAATGTGGACTGTTCAGTGAAAAGGATCCTAAAAGATGGGCGTGTTGTGATAAACATTAAACCAGCTCCAGGTGTAAACTCCTACATAATCATCTGATTACTCTCTTATCTTTATAACTTCTCCAAAAAAAGCATTTATTTTTATTTCATTCTGCATATTTATATTGGTTTCAAAAAAGAATCCATTTTGTCTCTGTCTTTTAAGTCCTGACTAAACTTCAGAAACTGAATAAACAAACACTAACTGGGAAGGATGGAGATTTAGTCACCATAACATCCATCAATCTGACACTGCCATCTCCAGAGCTCGATACACAAGTACCAGAGGATGCTTCAAGGAACCCTTCTGCATCTGTGCCAGATCGACAAACTGTATGTAACATGTAGTAAATTATTAAAAACCAATATAAATGAATTCTGTTAAAATAAATGATGTACTGTATTTGTAGGATCAGGTTCAACTGGGAAAGCAAAGTAAAGCAGTTTCAGCACGTGGAGAACAGACAGGTGCTTCAGAGGATGCTTTGACAAACCATCGTACATTTGTGCCGGCTCCACAAACTGTATGTACTGTGTAGTAAATCATTAAAAATACACACACGTTGTTGTTGTTGCTGTTGTTGCTCATTTGTTTATTTGTTTATACCAGGACCAAGTTCAGGAGGGGAAACAGAGTAGCACAGTTTCTGCAGGTGAAGAGATTTGCACTTGTTCCATCCCAGTGGGTCATTTCTGGTATGTGAACCACATGTACGAAGAGGAAATGCAACATATAGAAAAAAAGAATGTGGTTAAAATCATGGCAGATGTGAAGGTGAGATTTGAAGTAGACCAAAAACATGGGAGCCCAGACCGTGCTCTCGAGGAGTTTGCAAACCTTGTCCAGAAAAGCTTAGTTGAATCCAGTGGCTCAGTTATTCCTCTCAAGTTCATAGATTCAGATCAGTGGGGTGATGCACTGAAAACCATCCAGAAAAAGAAAAACAAGCTTTTGGTTACTCTGACCTCTGAAACAATGACTGTGCGTGGACCAGGACAAAGTCAAGATGTTATCAGTAAGTGCTTATATGCAGATACACATTGGAAAAGAAACACAGATGCTTCTCATCAAGAGTATGAAAGAGAGACTCAAGATACATCACTGAAGATTGACGTGACCACCAAAGACCATCTGATGCATATGGGACTAACGATGGAGGAGAGCTACTGGAAGGTGATGATTACCTCTTACAGTGAGAAGGTAGCAAAGATCAAAGATAAGTTTAATGTGGACCTGAAAGAATCAGACGTTGGTCAAGGCAAAGTCAATGTCAAAGCTGTATACAAGAAAGATGAAGGAAATGCCTCCATGGAGAGCCACGCTGTCAGAGAGCTTTTCCATTTATATCAGAAAACTGCCACATCTCCCATGAATGTCTCCCAGTCCAGTGCTGCTACTGGAATATGGGGTTGGTCGTGGCTATGGTAGCAATCTCAGTCTAGTGTTAAACTCTTGTGTTATTTGCATGCTTACAGTGGAATTTGTATATATTTCATAATGCTACCATGTAGCTTTGTATTGTGTCTTCTGAAACCTTTGTTCAACCCAATCTCTAAATTCCACCATGTTTGCTGAAACATGGCAACAAGAAATAAAAAGGGTTTTTTTGCATGTTGGCGTTTGTGTGTAATAACTTTCCTTTTATCTTGTGCCTCTTCCTACATTTTAAGGCAACCTCCTATACTCAGTGTTGGGAAGGTTACTTTTAAAATGTTTTCCACTACAGATTACAGAATACACGCCCCAAAATGTATTTTGTAACGTATTTTTTGTAACGTGTGCTCTGAACCCACAGAAGGATAACGTTACTCAATGAGAGTAAAGTATTCTGAATACTTTGGATTACTTAATATATTATCATGCTTTTTACAACTACATGAATCTACTATTGCTGTGTGATTTATTACTATTATTGAAGGCTACTCGCCATACCAATACCAACTAGATTTTTAAATCTTAATATGAAATGAGCAACAGTAGGGTGGACATTAGGTAAGGCTGCACTTTTTGCAGCGGCCGCGTATATAAAACAGGTCCGCCGAACTGTAAGGGACCTCTGGCTACGTCGGGTTCCGCTCGTAGCCGAAAACTAGCTTTACTTTGTTGACTGGATCAACTTTGCTAGCGAGAGACAGAGAGAGGCGTTGAAAGGCTGCTCCAACGGAACTTACTGTTTCGGAGGAAAACACGAACACAGTGTACAGTCGAGTTTTAATAGCTTACTTACAACCACGAGGCTATTCTTTAGGGTTATGCCTGTAACACTCTGCCTATTGCCTTCATATTAAATAATTTTTTGAGCAATAATTTTTAAAAATATTTCTTCACGTCATTATGCAAGTAGAGATGACATGGGCCGCGAGCTTGAGACCTAGACATTGTTTTGTGTGGGTTTAAACCGGCCTGGAATTACCAAAAATAGACAGGGGACAGCCTAACAGAGGTGGGCAGTAACGCGTTACTGTAATCTGATTACTTTTTTCAAGTAACTTGACCAACACTGCAGCCTAACATATGAAACAAAGTAACTGTATTCTAAATACCACCTGTTTAAACGGTAACTGTAACGGAATACAGTTACTCATATTTTGTATTTTAAGCACGTAACGTCAGTACACGTATTCCATTACTCCCCAACACTGCACCTATACTGCATATAAGATTTTCTGTAGGTATACTGTGTATTAAAGGATCATTCCCACTGTATACTGCATCTAAAAATACATAAGATTAAATTAATTATAATAAATGAGGACAGAGGGGCATTTTTAAGGCTAAGAAAAAAGTTCATCACAGCATTTTTAAAAATGTTATAAAAATACAAACAGAACACCAAAACCTTTTACAGTGAGTGGAAAATGAGTAGAATTTGTGAAATATCAGCAGAAAATGTACTTGAGGTACTTTAAAGTTAAAACCAAAATTTTCAGTGGATTCTGGCATTCTGGTATACATTTGACCTTTTATTTGAGTTATAGGCTATTATTAATACATTTCCCTCAGGTATCATAGTTCTGAAGGGAGTCAAAGATGAAATAAAAATCAATGCAGTGTTCGTCAGAATCATATGAGACAGAAGATATTTAACAAAAACGATCTTACACAAACTCTTAAAAATATCTGAAACATAAAGCAGACAACATACATGTAACATAAAGAACATTTTCTGTAGTTTTCTAGCAATGAAGAAGGATTTAGTTTCCACAGTCAGCTAAGCGAACAGACCTCTTGCCAACACTGCTGGAAATGACAGAGGTGCACTTGCGTGTTTGGAGTGTGACGCAGATCCTTATTGCGGAGCTGCAAGCTTTCGCTTTCGTTTATAAGGAAGTACCAGTGTTTAAAGTAGCGAGGCAGGAGTAAGTCATATACGAGGTAAAGTAATATTTTCCAGGTATATTTCTGTTCAGATACACACATTTGTACAGGTTTGGCTAAAATGTAAGACATAAGGAAACTGGAAAGTGGAGTGTATCCGAGAGTGTAGCTCTGCAGGATAGTCGGAGAGCAACGTTAGCTAATTTATGGAAACGTTTTTTTTATATATAAAATCAGCAAATAAAGAATTGCTGGTTGTTTGAGTAAAAAACACACTGTTGTTATGTCGTCTGTTTGTGTTGTGTTTTGAAGGAAGACGATCAAAATCGGAAACATGGACTCGGACACGGACACGGTGGAATCCATGGACACTGACGACCAGAGCGTACGTAAACTAGCACCGAATCAGAATACAATAATATTGTTACAGGAAATGTGGTGTTAATGCAGTCATTAAGGAGGAGCGGCGTTCAAATGTCACTTTTGACACCACATTTTGTTTGATTTATTTTTAAAAGTCTTTCTTCATTATTATAGATGCAGCATTCTGCTTTGAGTGACAACCAGCAACATTCATCACCTACAGATACAACTGCTGCAGTAAGTGTTTTGCCGAGTTTGTGTGCTTATGCTTCATCTGTTCTATAAAACATAACCAGTTCCAGCTTTTATCCATATTCTTGTAAAAAGTAAGTAAAAGTGAAAGCACACAAGCTCAGCTAACCTCAGCTGATCAGGTTCATGAGTGAAGAAACTTCATAAGGTTGCAAATTTTTTACAGGAGCTTTGGTGTTAAAGGGTCACTAAATAATCAACTTTAGTGAATATCCACCTTCATTAGCACCAATAAACTTCTTTTTTAAATTGACACAACACTTTTTTATACTTAAAAAGCCGTCCTCCCATTATTATAGGTGCAGCATTCTTCTTTGAGTGTCAACCAGCAAAACCTAACACCAACTGATACACCTGGCGCAGTAAGTGTTTTTGTGAGTTTCTGTGTGTTACGTACGTTTTCGAGAATTAAGCACACAAGATCAACATAATAATCTCAGCTGATCCACTCTGGAGGTTCATCAGTGAAAAAAACTTTGTAAGATTGCAACATTTTGGGGGTTAATTCAGTCATTAAATAGCCATAGTTATTATCTTCATTGGGAGCAGTATGCTTGTTTTTGTTTTGTTTTGTTTTACTTTCAACACAATAGTTTGTTTTTATACTTAAAAAGACTTTTTATCATTATTAAAGGTGCAGCCTTCTGCTATGGGCAAAAATGAGCAACATCTAAAACCTACCGATACACCTGCTGCAGTAAGTGTTTTGATCAGTTTGTGTGTATATGATTAAGTTCTCAGTAACACAAAACAAGCTCCAGCTCCAAACAAGATTATGTGAAAGTGAAAGTATTGATTACACAAGATCAATATGATAATCTCAGCTGATCAACAGTGGAGGTTCAGGAGATACATGATCAATGCTGTGTAAAGCTGTTCAGTGTGACTGTGATCGCCAGTGAGAACATTTGTAAAGTTGTTCAAGCTGAAAATGTGAAAATATGACATGTGGCTAACCTCACACTATTTATCTGCATTGTAATAGTGAAAAAAGAATTCTACAGATATAAATTTAAAGAATGATTAAAATGGCTTTTAAATATTTTTATTTTCATTGAATATCATAGGATTACACAGATTTACACTGCTTTATCAATTGTTTATTTCATTTCTTTTTATCACAGGTTGAAGATGGAGCTCTCATTGTTCTCTCACTGAAGTGGACAAAGTCTGATGATGAACCACAAAAAACAAAGAAGCCTGAGACTAGTCTACAGAAAATGCTTCAGACCTGGTTCAACAAATGTATACCTAATGTGGACTGTTCAGTGAAAAGGATCCTAAAAGATGGGAGTGCAGTGATAAACATTAAACCAGCTCCAGGTGCAGTCAAGTCCTACATAATCATTTGATTAATAATCATCTGATTAATCTACTGTCTTTATAACTTCTCCAAAATACATAGTGTTATACACACACACACACACACACACACACTGACTTCTTCCTGTATATTTGTATTGGTTAAAAAAAATTCTTTATGTTTTTTATTTTAAGCTATCACTGAGCTTCAGAAACTGAGTAAAGAAACACTAACTGAGAAGGAAACTGAGAAGGGAGCTGGGAAGGGAAAAAAAACAACGGTCACCATAACATCCATCAGTCTGACACTGCCATCTCCAGAGCTCGATACACAACTACTTACTGAAGATGATTCTTCAGTAAGTCTACCAGAGCCACAAACTGTATGTAAAATGTAGTAAATCAGTAAAAAACTAATATTAATGCATGCTATTGAATTTAATAATGTATTGTATTTTAACAGGAGCAAGATCAACAGGGGGAGCAGAGTGAAACAGGTTCTACAGCTGGAGACCAGATGGGTGCTTCTTTCATGCCAAAGACAAAAAATGTATGTACTGGGTCATAAATTAAAAGTTTATCAAAATATTAATGAGATATACTGTATAGTGTATGTATATAAGTGCATTATACAGTATACAGTATGTATACTGTATGTATATAAACGATATACTGTATGTTTTTTCAACAGGAGCACATTCAGCCAGGGAAGGAGAGTAACACAGGTTCTACAACTGAAGAAGATAGTGGTACTTCCCCAATGTGCTTACAAACTGTATGTACTGTGTCATTAATTACAAACATAAAAATGAAAAAGAAGATCTTCAACAAACAAACATAATGATCTTTTTTTTTAAAAGATTATTTTACCTTTTTTTTAATCTTCAGGAGCAAGTTCAGGTGGGGAAACAGAGTAGCAGAGATCCTGCAGGTGAAGAAATGTACACTTGTTCTGTCCCAGTGGGTCATTTCTGGTATGTGAACCACATGTACGAAGAGGAAATGAAACGTATAGAGGAAAAGAATGGAGTAAAAATCAGGGCAGATGTGAAGGTGAGATTTGAAGAAGACCAAAAACATGGGAGCCCAGACGGTGCTCTCGAGGAGTTTGAAAACCTTGTCCAGAAAAGCTTAGTTGAATCCAGTGGCTCAGTTATTCCTTTCAAGTTCATAGAGTCAGAACAGTGGGGCGATGCACTGAAAACAATCCAGGAAAAAGAAAACAAGCTTTTGGTTACTCTGACCTCTGAAACAATGACTGTACGTGGGCCAGGACAAAGTCAAGAGGCCATGAAAAAGTTCTTAAATGCAGATACACATCGGAAAAGAAACACAGATGCTTCTCATCAAGAGTATGAAAGAGAGACTCAAGAATCACTGAAGATTGACATGACCATCAAAGATGATTTCCCGCATGCAGGACTGATCATTGAGAAGACATTTTGGAAGTTGATGACTAACTCTTATAACAAGGAAATAGAAAAGATCAAAGCTAAGTTTAACGTAGCATTCAAAGATTCAGACATTGGTCAAGGCAAAGTTAATGTCACAGCTTTCTACAAGAAAGAAGGAAATGCCTCAATGGAGAGCCACGCCCTCAGAGCACTTCTCTGTCTACACCAGAGGTTTGTTTCATCCCAATTCCATGGTGCCACTGGGTTCAGTGGCACAATCATTTCTCAATCAGAGGGGGCCTCCAATGAGCCTGTGTTGAATGGCCAATCAGCAAACAGGAAGCACAACATTGACCCACCAACTGACAGTGGGAAAAGAGCAGGTGACCAAAGTGATGAAAGGTGTCCTATATGTTTGGATAAATTCAAAAACAAGAGACAGCTCAACTGTAAACATGAATTTTGTAAAGACTGTCTGAAACAAGCAGAGAAGGCGAATGGGCCCATCTGTCCTATATGCAGAGTCGTCTTTGGTAAGATAGTCGGAGACCAACCAGATGGAAGAATGTCACACCAGATACTCACAATTCCCCTCCCTGGATACTCAGACTGTGGCACCATAATGATCAGCTATGAGATTCCAAGTGGAACACAGACGGTAAGTGACAATTTTATCTGAGTGCCTATGTCCCTGTTTAAAAAATAAAACATGATTGTGTTTTCATTTTGTGGTTGTATGTATATATTTTTCTAATATTGTTTACTTTCCATTCATCTTTCTAGGAAAAACATCCCAATCCTGGACAGCGCTATTTTGGGATTAGAAGACAAGCGTATCTTCCAGACAACAAAGAGGGCAATGAAGTGCTGCGACTGCTGAAAAAAGCTTTTGGCCAGAAGCTCATTTTTACTATTGGTACATCCAGAACAACTGGTATGGACGGCCAGGTGACCTGGAACGACATTCACCACAAAACATCCACATCTGGAGGACCAGATTGGTAGGGTAACCAATTTCCTTACTAGCGTTGTGATATATGTTTTCTTTCACGGTTTACTCTAATAAAATACTACATATTAACCTTGGATATGTTCTGTTTCCACAGCTTTGGGTATCCTGACCCTGAGTACCTGAGCAGAGTCAAAGAGGAGTTAAAGGCCAAAGGCATTGAGTGAAGTGTTTGATACAAAGTACAGGTGGATTAGAAATCAAAGACGTTAAAAACAAGATGACTCTTTAAACAGACACTGAAATTCAAACACTCTGTTTTGCTCTCTTTTCTCTGTTAATTCTTTAAATGATCAGTAGGGGTTAGAATTTACTTTTTTCATTAGCCACATATATTATCTTCAAATATTGGGTGATTACACTTTTTTGTTTGTCAAAGTTTTCATCATGTAACAATATAAAATGTAAAGTTGCGTAAACACAGACTTATATGATCTCACGTCTACAGTGCTGATGGTCTGACTTGCTGTTTGCCTAATAAATGATTAAATCCTCCACACTGAATTCCTCCTTTTATCAGGACCGGTTGTGAACAAAACACAGAACACTGTGGCTTGTTTTCTGTACAATTTTTAAAATTTTATTTATAACAATATCTGTTATTTAGTTTGTAAAGTACTCCAGCAAAAATTAAACATTATTCTCTTTTCAGAAGAAAGTCTGCGCCTCCATGCATTGTGTACTATAAAAGCTATGTGTCATTTTTCATTTTAAAAAAACCAAGGACTAATCAAAACAAAAGTCTGGAAATGCACATATGATTTAGCAAAAATGTCCTTTCGGTAAAATGATTGTACTTCTCTCTCAATTAGAGACAAAACATACACGACGGCATAAAATAACACTGGCTTGACAGGTAAGCAAAATAAAAACTTGTTATTGTAGTTACACTGAAGACTTGTGTTACTTTTCACATGCATTAAGATATGGCTGACACATTTTTGACAGAAGCAGCATTTTGGGACAGAGGCTGAGCGTAAGGACGTGTCAGAGCAACCAGAATGGTAGCATTAGCAGCAGCAGGGCACAGAGAAGAGATGGGGAAGGGCTGAAGAAAGAAAACAGAGAAACGCTAAGGATCAAATGAAAATAATGCACTTAAGACAGAGTCATTACACAACTGTGAACATACAGACTTTGATCCTCTGAAGGCAAATTTACTCACAAAGCCAGATGGATGCTACCTGGTCTTTACAGAACAAAAACCAGGACTGGAGAAGCAGAACACACATAGAAAAGAAATCTTTCCTTCCTTACATTTGACCATAATTGCAGCCTCTACAGGAAGACCAGAAAACAGACGCTAAATAGTGCAAACATGACACTATCTATAAGTCTTCTATCAAAAAAGCCCCCGCCATTGTTAGCCAGCTGTTTTCTGGGCATGTACACACAGCCAGCTACCCACCCATTAAAGTATCACCCCATCTATTGCTTTACATCCGTAATCTCCATCCATCACTCTGCCTGGAATGTTTAACCCATAACCACCTTCCACGTTCTTCATATAACTGCACAATCACGCACTAACAAGCCTCTTTATCCTTTCTCCACAGCAACACATCAGCTCCAGCTGTTACACAAAGTGATAAAAACAAACATTTTCTTTACATCTTAAGGTATAAAGCCTACAGTATACACTATACCGTAAAATGTGATATTCTGTGCAAGGAAGACCACACAATCATTTTATGAACATTGTTCTCTGAGAAAGAAAGAAAAATACGTGGAAATACTGTAGTTGCCATCTGGTATTGACATTTTACATGTGCTATACACAAACGGTGCTATCACAAATCTGTCTCACACATTCTTGCCAAGAAGCTCGACAAGATGACAAATGTACCGATTTCAAAAACTTTGAGTTTTTGCCTTTTCCCGCTCAAAGTTGACACAAACAACAGACAGTTGGCACTGGTGAAATGGAACAATGTTTTTGTCTTTTCTATACAATTCATACAAAAATAAAAAATTAAAATTGCTCCAATGATAGCATTTCTTTTTTTTTTTCTTATGATTTCCATGTTTCCATTTCATTTTGCACAGAGGTAGTGGCTATTTAGGTAAAGGGTAAGGGACGAAGTGGAAATTAAAAATCTCTCATAGAAAATGTTATTTGTTTTTGACCAGAGGAATCTCAAAAGAACAAAATATAATACTGCAATCACATACAAAAGTAGTCCTTCATTTTTGTACATTTTATACAGTGTTCACATGGTTTATCAATTTTCTCTCACACTTTTTATTGATTTTTTTTTTGTTCAATTTTTCTTTAAAAGGCAAGAATGGGGGGGGGTGTTTGGAATAGCGTGATCCGGCACCAAGGTCTATGCCAGTGGGTCCACAAGGGGCTCCTCATCTCCACGGGATAGCAACTCCTTCTTCTCATCTGTGCTGGCCAGAGAGTTGCGGCTGTTGTGAGCTCCCATATACAGAGTGGCATAAACTGGGTTGGTGAAGTTAGTGGGCTGGAAGGAAGAAAAATGATCCATCACATCATGTTTAAAACACTGAAGTTTAGCATCACGAATATACAGTGCTGTGCAAAAGTCTTCAGTCATTCCAATTTTTTTTTATATTTTGCAAGATAAATGTGGAATAGATGCTGGATTTATTGTGCAAACATACATGGAAATGCAGTATAACCAGCTTTATTCTTCAACATACCAAGAACTCTCTTAGGCAAGCTTCTTCTTCTTGTAGGACATTCAAAGCTCGCTTCCATACACACTGATGACAATTTGAATCAAAAAACTGAAAATTTGGATTAATCGCTTCACCTGCATCTCTCAGGTCCTGTGTCAGGTCTTTGCTGAACCTTTCTTGTTTCTTAATTACATGACCTGCTGTTCATCAAGTGTTTTTAAGGACACACTGCACATCATGCTGAGAGATGCCAATTTTTTGGGCTAATAGATTTTTTGGGAATTGCCTTGTTGGTGCAACAATACTATTTTAAGCTTGTCTGTGCTGTCTGATGATGATGTTTGCGACAGTCTGCAAATAACAAAGTGGCTAAAGATAAAACTGCTTCTTTGCTAAGTTGCTTGTTATGTGTAAACAGAAAACTGCTTCATCACTTGAGTTACGCACCTTTTTTAAACCCTTCAATGATTAATAGGTTGGTGTTAAGTGGCTTAACAAACAAGAAAGCATCCCTCTGAAAATAGTCAGGTACAAGGACTGGACTGAAAATACTAACTATTAACCTATTACTCAGGACTTTTTTTTTTTAAATAAAAACTGCATTATAATAGTCTGGCAACTTGCAAGAACACTATAAAGAAATGAAGAGTGACTGAAGTTTTGCACACGTCTATATTTTTCTCTACCTTGTCTGGGTCCAGAGTGAAGTCTGCATCTAGCAGCTCCCCAGCATCGTCATCAGGTTCGCCCTCATAGATCTTGTAAGCAGGGTTTCCAATCTCAACATTCATTGCCCCATTGGTCATCCTTTGGTGCTGGAAGCCCTTGGCCCTATACAAAATGACAAGGAGAGCAGTCATAATTTCATCTTTTGTTCAAGAGTAGAGCTGCCTGAAGAGTGCAAGCAGGGACACAGCCACATTACGACGGGAGGGGAGAGGCATTGCATGGCTCTCACCACCATCCAGGCTAAGCCACAGCACAAGGACCAACACAAACCCAGCATTCATGTACAGGAGGTAATGTCAGATCCAGACATACTGGACCTGGATATCTTCCCAGACCCCCAATAAATCCACAATCATTCCTCTAAAATACGAATGAAGTATCCATGGCTAAGTAAATGCTGGATTTTGGGAAGTTGCATTTTCCAGTCAGAGCTTGGAACAATGCTACTGGACTCTCCATGTCTCGCTACAAGAGACACTACCACAGCTCAAACCACAACACAGTACATTATGGCACAATATGATGGACAACAATATGAAAGACCTACAGCACTGGCTAACACACAGACAGATCTATTCATTTAATCTTTTCAATAGATCTGCCCTGGAGCCCTGCTTTGAAAGAGAATAACTACACAGGACGGACACTGTAGGAGCGGGATGACCTACAGCCTCAATGACCATCAGAAAAAAATGGCACAACACTAAGGACCAAACACAGCACAGGAACTCATGGTTAAGGGAGAGGCAGGGAAAGAGAGAGCATCAGAATGAAGAACTGAAAGAGGGCATGGAGAGAAAAGTGTAACCCTGGCAGCCGTTACCGCAAGCGTCTGGAGCCGGTTTTTCCGGGCCGGCTAGACCTGAGGAGCAGAAGAGATGTCATTACAGAGGAGGAGGGTAAAAGTGCAGATCGAAGAACGGAAAGGAGGAAGAAAAGGGGGAAGAAAAAAGGAAACAAAAAAACAAAAAGAAGAGGTCAAAGTAAACCAAAGTTTTGAATGTCGTGTTACTCACCCTCTCATCCTTCTCCTGTACCAGAACAACGCTCCTGCAGCCAGGAGGATCAGCAGCAACAGCATCAGCACTGCAATCAGTATGGAGACTGTGCCTGGACACAAAGAATTAAAAACAAACAGCCTCATCAAACAAAACTCAAGAAACCTCTGTTATCAACGTCACAGTGGAAGAGCTGACTCACGTCCGCCTGAACCTGAAGCATCACTACTGGCCACAGACTCACAGCGATGCCCTTCCCAGCCAGGTGAACATCTACACACGAACACAGACACCAATACAAGATGACACAATAAAAAATATGTAATCTATGCAGTATTATAATGACAGAGATATATGCAAACAGAAATATTCATGCACACTATGAAACAATGCAAAGGATTTAACCAAGACTGATAGACAACAAATATGAATGAATGCACTCCTCACATGCACTTTGGAAGGCGAGTATTGGAGTCTATAGAGCACTGGCCATTTGCACAGTACTCGTTCGTATCGCACGTGTAACAGCTGGGCTGGACTCTGCCATCTGTGCAGCTATGGAAAGAAAGAAATTGAGCAAAATGTGACAGCTTCACGCATTTATGTTTCTTTTCCGTTAATCTGAGGCAAATTATAAGTGCTCTTACCGACAGGTGAAGTTCACCACCGATGTCAAAGTATTGCTGCGGATGCACTCGCCATCCCGACAGTAGTGACACCTGTCAATCTCACATGTGCTACCGGTGTACTGGGGCTGGCAGCGGCACAGTTTGGTGCCGCTTTCGCTCTCCAGACACGTTCCTGCGTTCAGACAATGGGCTTCGCAGGTTCCTGCACACACGGGCGCACACAAATAAGCACGTAGGTGCATTAATTCCTGGCCACATCATAAAGGCTCATTTCAACTGTTCTTTTTCTTTATTTCAATTTTAACAGTTTGAAACTTGTCGTGTCACACAGACAACGCAAACACTCACTGTACTGGCACTGGTCGCCAAGGAAGCCAGAGGGGCAGTTACAAGTTGGCTGGTTTCCAGCGCTGACCGTACAATTGCCTTTATTCCGGCAGTAATTCTCACAAGTGTGCAGGTTACAATTTGGTCCTGTAAAGCCTGTCAGGCA